AGTACAGCAATACTGAGCCACATTTCTAAGGTGCAAGGAGGTGTGGGGACTTTGCATGGTTCCCTACTGTGTATCTAGGGCTTGGAATGAGGCCTAGAACAAACATTTGCTGAATAAATGAATGCATAAAGGAATGAGTCACTTGCACAGCCCAGCATCTGACATACAGTCCCTAACATCTGTCCTTGAATAGAAGTGAAAATATGTCACCTGGGTAAGAGTACAGGACCCTTGGTCATGACCTGAGGCAGCTCTGAAGGTAGATCCAGGCATCAGAGACCAGAGCCTCAGGAACACCTATTTGGAGGTGCCAAGGACCTCACGAAGTTCACAGGTGACTTTTCATACCAGTGTCTGAGGCCCAGCTACACCCAGCCAGGCAATGGCAGGCATCCCACCTAGGGGAAGCCGAGGACCAGATGACTTTGGCACTGCCCAGGCTAGCCGAGTAGGCTCCAAATCTTTCCCTTGAACACAGCCTGGAGTTGCCTGGGACCTGCCATGGATACTGTACTTAGGGTGGCACTAAGGCAGGGCCTCACACCACAGACACTGAATGCCCTGAGCCTTTGGGGACAGGAGAGTTCTCTGAGGAATAAAGGACAGGCTGATGCGAACACTGCCAAGTTCACTGCCATCCTGAGACTGATGCCCAGTCCTTCCTCCTTACCTTCCACTGTCCACTCAGCTGTGGACCAGTATGAAATGTTCAAGACCAACCTTTGCTATATGGGAGCCTAAATTAGTGTAAGGTTCATAGAGAAGGCTCTCCTGTAGAGCCACGCTTGGATGTGAGGGGGAATTGGGTGCAGGTAGCTGTCAATACAGTCTGTTTCTAATCGCCGAGGGGACGCTAACCCTCACCCACTATGCCCAGCATCTAGAACAGCAAAGTACAATGAGTGTTCAAGAAAGAGACCCCAAAGCCTGGCCCAGGAGAGTTGGTGGCAGTTTCCAAATATTACCCCTGGGTAATATTTCCTCTCAGAGTGCTCAGCGCAGCCCCAGAGCCCCGTGTCACCTCAAGTGCAAGTCCCGCCAGCAGTTACGGGAAAATGGACCCAATCCCTGTGTGTGAGGTTTTAGAAGCTTCCACGGCAAAGAAGAGAGGAAACAATGAGCTTTATAAAGAACAATATTTATTTCCATTTACAGCATCAAATACCATAAATAAAGCTAAACATTGTTTTGCTGTGTGCAAAATACAGGGCTCCGTGTGGCACTGTAAATGATTACCAGAGGTCACAGACATGCGTAGTGATGAGGTGGGGAGGCTAGCTAAAGAGGAGGCTGAGAGGGGAGGAGGGCACTCTTTGGTTGACATTCTATAAAGGGAGGGAGACTCTGTAAGAGAAGATAAGACAAGAGCAACAACTTCGTACTGGCCAGGATCTGCACAAACGCAGCGAGCGTGCAGCATGCAGGGCCGGGCAGGCAGGCCCGGGGGTCAGGGCGGTCTGGGTCACATGCAGGGCAAACACCTACTGCAGCCTGAGACCGCAGGGGTTGGCTAGGACAGCTCCACTGCGCCTGGTGTGTTGTTTCTCATTAAGAGCACATTAGTGACTATCCTGCTGCCTCAGGTCCAAGAGTCAGCAGGAATGTGTGCTTTAAGCAGAGTCATGGGCCTGGGGCAGAACTAAGTCATTTCTCAAAGATATCCCTGCTTGGGATGAAGATGGCTCTAACTGAAGCTCTGGTGTCATCTGGGGCTTTATGAGCCAAAGCAGATAAGAAAAGTCACAGCAAAACCCTTGACCTACAGTGCAGGCGGCAACCAAGGCAGGATTTGCTGGAATATTTGTGATCACATGCATGTTCAACCTACAGAGCATGGGTCAAGCTTGGGATGAGGCCTGGGAATAATTATGTTTTTTAAATCCCTCCAAAGAATCACCTATGGTTCTGATCAATGACATTAACAATCTTTACATTAGAGCCAATTTAAGAAGGGGCTGGTGTGTATGAGCTTTTCGAGGCTGTTCAACAAGTGTTCTTTTCAAAGGTGACAGAGTCCCCCCTCATGGTACTGTCTCAAGATCAGGGTCAACCCTCCCAAGAAAGTAAGGTGGCTTCGCAGGTACAACTGGAGAAGCATGCATGCAAGTGTGCCCGAGGGAGAGAGGAGAGGCGGGACATGCACTTGGGATTGACCAGGCTGCCGGCTCCACAGAAAATAGACACAGACATGACTCTGAAGCTGATCACCTCCCCCATGCTGTTAACCAACCATGCCACCAAATGAGTCCATCAGTACACAAGACACAGTTAGTGCAGCCGGTACCACTGGCGGGGAGGACGGGGTGCGGAAAGCGGGTGGGGAGTTAGTACCACTCTGAAAATAGGCAAGAAAACCAGTCACCTCAGAGCAGAAATGTGTCAGCCAAGAAGTGGGTGTAGCACTGGAAGGCTGAAATGAACTGATGGCCATGGTGTGAGATTGGAAAGAGAAAGACAGAAAAAGACATCTTAGTGTGGGCAGAAAAGGAAATGAACAACACGAGAAGGCACTGGCGTCGAAAATAAGGCAATTATTGAAATAGGGAAATGTCCCTGTTTGCTCAGGAGAGATGAACCTTTCTGGTTGCGACCAGCTACTTATTTGTAAGAGTGGATGCACATAGTTTGCGTCTTGTCCCCAATATCCTCTCTGCTCCCATTTTACTCTAGCATCTCCTACTCATTCTTAAATATGTTGTGCAGGCCTAGAGGCACTTACCCTCAGGGGTCCACCCCTGTGTGTTGGTGCTGCCCACCAGAAAGGTTCAAGGTCTCAGAGCATACCAACATCTCAAACTCCTGACAGGCACACCCTGTCTCACCACAGTAATTCGAACCAGTCTCCTTATAGTTGTACATGACAGTCTTAGAGATTCTGACTATGGCTTCATGGAGCACTCCACAAAGCATCTCAGCCTACCCTGAGCTGAAGATAATCACAATAACATGGCCGTTTACATCATGACCTCGAGAATTTACTTTCTATAATCAAACAAAAGGAATCAAGGACTCCTCCCACCATGTTGAACATTAAAATCCCAGCAAAAACTGGAGAAAACACAATTCAAGTCATGGATGGGACTGAGAACAGTGCCAACAAGGACAGAAGTGCCAGCTCCCAGAGTTGGCCATGGCCATGCCTCGTTCTTCCCAAGGATTTCAGGCAAGTATTTGCAGAAATGCACTTCCTTCTTGCTTTCCATCCCATATAAACTTATCATCTCAAAGCTCTCAAGAGCTCTGGCTCCTCACCCACACCCAGGCACCCCTCTTAATTAATCCAGAGGCATCTCTAGTGATAACTGCACAGAGCTTTCTTGGGTCCAGCAACTCCAGATACACTGAGCACTGCAGACGGCCTTTCTCTGGCAGCCTCTTGACTGTTCAGCCAGACCCTGCAGCTGTGCATGTCTAGGCAGCGTGGAGTAGGGAGAGCTGAGGACTCCTCCAGACACCCAGAGTGAGGAATGTAGGTGGGCCCACATGTTCATTTTTACCCTTACTAAGGCATGTTTCCTTTGGTTCAGTCCATAAACAGCTTCCACTCCCAGCCCTCCCTGCCATTCAAGATACAGTAGAGCTTCCCCTGGAGGTCAGACCCATTCCTTTGCCAGGGCAGTGTGAAAATGGTTTCCGTTTTGACCACATATGCATGGCAGTGGAGCAGTTAAGCAGTCAGGATGTCCATGGGCAACGCTCACTGGAAAGGCCACGCTTCCCAGCAACAACCTGATGTGCTAACAAACCCCCTCAGTCTCTAAGGACACCACATGAGCGGGCAGAGTCTTCCACTCCACTCAGCCTGACCCATATGGACCCTGCATGCCCTTGGCTCAGCCTGCAGCCTGGCTAGGGGATCTGATGGGAGCCTCAGGGGCTAAAATGACATCAGCTGAAAGCGCTCATCAGCACCGCATCAGCTCCATGGTCAAACACCAGTGGGCTTGCACTGCAGTGCCCATTAGTGGGAAGGGAAAATACATGTTTGTAAAATCTGTTGAAACCCTTGGTTCTTTGTCATTTGGCTGTGATTTGACATGGGGTGGAGAAGCCTTTAAGCTACTATTTAACATCAAAACAAGGGAGCAAAATAGTCCTTCCCCCAGGGGGACAGATAACAGCCAGCCACACACTACTCTGTGCTTCTGTAGGTTGAATTCTATTCGGCCCTTTACTCTCTTCTTCTAAAATAATTATGCTTTCATGTCATAGAAAGTATCCTGCTGCTGACAAGTGCCATCTGGGCACCTAAGTCAAAAGGCACTGGTCAGGAGGTGGCACATTCACTTTCATGTATGTAAAATCCCAAATCATTCACTCGGCAGGCAGTGGCTCTGACAACTCACTGCGATGTTGAAGGGGTTTATAAAGCTGGCTACGAACTTCAAACCCCCATATTTAGAAAAACTGACACTCATACAAAAACTGCTTTCTCTAGGCTTATTAAAAAATTGAAATGTAAACCCAGAAATATGGCTCGCTTTGGTGTATACATATAAAAGTACAAAGCTACAGAAAAGATCCTTCATATCAGCCCTGGCCCTAGCATCATGAGTAGATGTTCACCCTGATAAGGCCAGGTGGAGGCGGCCCACGTGAAACTCTTTGGCTCTGAACTAATTGCTTAGAGAATGCTAGGCTTCCTGGCCAGAGCCCGAGCAAACTGAAAGCTCACCGCCACCTGAACCCTGGAAATGTGAAGGCACTTTGGGGCAGCCAGGCGTGTCAGCGGAGCTTGACTGGGAAGCACCTGAGCACCCAGTTGCGGATGCTCTCGAGGGAGCCCTCAGATTCCCTGTACATGGCTGCCAGGACCTCAGAGAACGCCCAGAGGAGCGGCAGCCCCAGGCTCAGGAGCTCGTACGTGTAGCAGTAGTTGTAAGCATTGTCCCTGACATGGAGGCCAATGGCTCGCAGGAGTCCCTGCATCCAGTTACGCAGGTCCCTTGGCAGCCTGAGGGGCCAGCCCAGCGCCTTCCTAAAGAAGGAGGTGGAGATACCTGGGGGACTGCCTTCCGGGGTGCCAATGGCGGCCACGGCACAAGAACTTTCGGTGGGAGTGTCTCGCCGAGGGGCTTCCTGCTCTTGCCATGTCGCCTCCTCCTGAGAAAGAGATCGAAATGAGGGCAAGTCCACAAGTCTTCCAGAGGACTGCTTCAGCAAAGCACACAGAGAGCCAAGACAAACCGAACTCGACAGACCCTGCAGCCAGCCCCACAATCATCTCAGCCCCCAACTCATGCTGAAGCTGGTGCTGAACATGGGCACAGCTTTTCCAGGGTCCAACTGGCCACAGGAGTCACGAGCCTTCAAAAATATGCATGCCTCTGATCAGCAATCTCACTCCTAATGATACACATCAAGTAAATAATTTGAAATATGGATAAGGATATGCATACCAGGATGTGTGCTGTAAAAACATTTATAAGATAAAAAATTCGAATGACGTGAAGACCCAGTAATACAGAGTAGTGAAGTAAATTATTGACCATTTATAGACGAGAATCTTTTAAAGGCATTAAAAATTATGCTCCAAGAGAAAGTTTTTTTTTTTTTTTTTGAGACGGAATCTTGCTCTGTTGTCCTGGGCTGGGGTGCAATGGCACAATCTTGGCTCATTGCAACCTCCACCTCCTGAGTTCAAGTGATTCTCCTGTCTCAGCCTCCCAAGTAGCTGGGATTACAGGCACGTGCCACCACGCCCAGCTTATTTTTGTATTTTTAGTAGAGATGAGTTTTCACCATGTGGTCAGGCTGGTCTCAAACTCCTGACTTCATGATCTACCCACCTCAGCCTCCCAAAGGGCTGGGATTACCGGCGTGAGCCACCGTACCCAGCCCTCCAACAGAATTTTTAATGTCATGGGAAACCATTCTTGATGTAGAGTTAGTGAAAAGGAAGGATATAAAACTGTAGGCATCGGATTCCACTTGGCTTTAAATATATTCACATAGAAAAGAGCCTGGAAAGGGATGTTACAAAATGTGAACTGTGGCTTTCTCAGGGCAGGGTGGCCACAGGTGATTTCTCTTTGCTTCTTTATAGTCTTTCATTCCCATTTTTTACATTGAACCTATATATTTGGGTAATTAGAAAAAAGTTTTAAGTTATGGGTTGTTGCTAGTGGTAGATAATTAATCAAGCCAGAGAGAAGAAAATTTGCTAAGAAAGCCCAGAAGAGATGCTTCCACAAACCATCTATAAATTCAGTGGGTTGGTCACTTTTTAAACTTCAGGAGCCTGGGAGAGGAGTTGGAAACTGTAGAAGGGTCGGTCCCACACCAGGCATTCTTACAAACAGCACCTTGCGGCCAGGTGAGTTCCAGGTATAGAGGACCACGTGGCTTTTGTGTGGCTGAGCATATCACCCCATCCCTGCCACGTGGGCAAGCTCTTCCAGGCTTCTTATGAGATGCCAGCCTGGCTACCCCCCTGGGAGCTCACCTGGAATGGGACACGCCCCAGAGGCTGTGGAACAGACTGAAGCAAAAGAACCCTTCACACCAGGAAGCAGAGGCTTTCTTCTTCATCTGTGAGTCATCTCAATCCCTCCAGGGCCAGAAAAGCTGGCCTGACTTTGAGGATCCCTGGAAACCCTTCTCTTATCAAGGGGCCTTCCCCATTTCACCAGCACGGGTGAGACAAACATACCTCTCTTTGTTGCTTCAGCTCTGCCCGTCTCTTCCGTTGTTTGCTATTGGCTTTACAGTGAATGAAGTGAGGCTTGCAGTAAAATTTGCCTATAAAAGAGGCACACACATACAGAAAGATTTGTTTCCTGTGAATTAGAGTCCCCATCGACAAAAGCCAAGTGCCTGCCACTGTTCAAGTCAGAAAATAGCAACGATGGAAACAGCCCAGGGTGGCTCAAATTTCCGTCATCTTCCTTAAACAGGTGGCACTGAGATGAGGTAGCAGGGCCCTTTGCTGCCTCAGAGACAAGCTCCAGCAATGGTGGGCTCCCGGGGATGTATCTAAGGTCTTCAAAGCATGCAGAACTTCTAGATGCTGGACACATGCTGGCACCCGTGGGGCAGCATGCCCACACCTGGACAGGGCATGGAAGCTCTGAGCCTCTTCTCCCTTACCAAACCTCATGCCTCTCTTCCATCTGGCTGCTCCTCTGCATCCCTTATGATAAATAGGACATTAAAAAAAAAAATCCCCAAATCAAACTGAGGCCAAATTTCTTCAAAAGACCCATTGCCAGGCAGCAAAATGGACTGCATCAAGTATGAACACCCTCAATCCTTCTTTGTGGAATCCCTGGCAGGTGGGAAAGGCTGACAGCAAATGGCAGCAGTGATGGGGAGGAAAAGACCCAGACAGGGCACATGCTGGGAAACTGGCCACTGCCCAGGACCACTGTACGCCTTCCAGAAAAGCCTTGCTTGCTCACTGCTACGCTGGTAACAATAGCAATGGTAAAATGGTAACAGTAGGGGACACTTACATAGGAATGACTTTATGCCAGGCACAATGCTACACATGCTTACATAAATTAACTCATTTGTTCTCACAACCACCCTGAGAGCTAAGGACTACTGTTAATCTCATTTTACAGATGAGGAATCTGGGGGACCAAGAGTTTAAGTGATAGGCCCAGGGTTCCATGGCTAGGAGGTGGTACAGTCTGGAGTCGAACCCAGGCAGTTTAGTTTGAGGGTGTGTAAATGTGAATGCCATGCTATACTGCCTCTCGCTATAGATGGCAGAGCGAATGTCAAGTGCTGAAAATTAGCAATGAGCATGATTCCTCCATCAGTGATCTCTGTTAGGGCACTTACCAGGGAATGTCATGATGGTTATTTTATAACATATACTATGTAAGTAATATTAACCCTGCGTCATTGAACCTGACTGCATGCCAGGTGTGGTGCTGAGCATGCAACGGAGGGTATCAGGTTTGATTTTCTTGGCCACACAGGGACAGTGGAAGGTGGTGAGGCTGCATAAGGAGATACAGAGAGCCCTGGGCACACGGGAGGTGCCCACCAGGACCTGGTATCCACACTACAGTGCTGGTGCTCCCCCTTCCCTGGGACCACAGGCAACCCCCTACTTCTAGCAGGAGCTCCTACTCTCCCTGAACAGCCTTCCTGATGACATCATACTTCCTGTTGAGGACGTGTTGGGTGTTCTAGAGCCTCCAGGCCAAGGTCACATCTGAGGCCAAGTCCAGAGCCCAGTGCTGCTCTGGTCCCTGGGGTTACCTTCGTCGTAGTCAAAGGTGTAGGCGGCCAGACGCAAGGTGGTAGCACAGACGCTACAGCGGAAACACTCCCGGTGGAAGAAGTGGCCCTCGGCACTCAGCCGCTCCATCACGTACACACGCTTCTTACAGAAGTAACACGTGTCACTGCCTCCCAGGTTCAGGGGAAATGACTTTCGCATCGATTCCTGGGGATGGGGAGAGAAGAGTGGTGTGTTAGAGCTTATCCTGAGCCTTCAAATGTCAGGTTGAGGCTTTTAAAAATTCCAAATTGAATGCTGGGGACCTCATGGGCTTCTACTCCCTGCTCCTGCCACTGCAGCAAAGAGGGATGGGTGGGAAGATATGCCCCCAACCGAGACCCCAACTCTGTAGGGGCTGCTATTAACTGTCCTCCCTGGCAGGCTGGAGAGTACAAGGCAGGCCAGGAGGGGCTCGCCCCAGGTTGGCCACTCTGGTTTGGGGGTGGGAGTGGTGTCTCTGGTCTGACAGAGTGGGCCTCACGCACACACCTGTCCACCCCATGATGTTCTTCCCAGGATCTGTCCCTGGGATTAAGTGTCACCTGGTTTTGGACAAAGGCCTGCTGATGTTTTAAGTGTCCTGTTCCCCTGCAGTGGCGCAGGTCGGGTACAGAAAGCTGGTGGCATCAAATCTGGTCAGTTAAAGTTCTAATTGTGAATTGAGAGGACACAGGCCAGGATAGCAGTACCCCTGGGATTTCCAGGACAATGTGCCGAAAGGAAACTGAAAAAATTGTCAACTAAAATTCTTGGTGATGGCAGCAAGCGGCTTAGTTTAGAGAAAGTGAGAAATCAAATCAAAGGGATGATTTTCCCAGGACTTTTTTCTCAGTCCAATGTAAAGAGACTGTTCAGGTTGGACACTCAACACTGAAAGTGAGGGCCATTCCATTAGGCTCATGGCCTCACCTGGGCCCTCCTACCAGGCTGTTCTCCAGAGCCACAGGACAGCAGGAAGATGCTCTGATTTCCAAAAGACCACAGGGGACCTGAGTGAGGTCTGTCTTTAAGGAAATGCAGCTTCCCTCTAACTTCTGCCCTGATCCAGCTAATTCTCAGCTCCCTCTGGTCCCAAGAGACGAGGAGCCTTGAGGACCAGGCCATCCGCTCCACATCCCATGTGCCTGCCCTGGGATGCCAGAGCCAGTGTCTATGGGTGAAGGCTGGGGTTGCATGTCCTTACCAGGTCTGGAGAGGTGGCCTGGGCCTTAGGTCTGTGATCATTCATGTACAGATTGACCAGGACTTCAGCTGCAGCCCCTATTCCGCTGGACACTTTCCCTACCGTCAGCTAACCAAGAGCAGAGGCAGAGGAGACAGAGACAAAGATAGAGGCCAATTAGCACCAGGAGGAAACACAGGCCGGATGGATGGGGAGAGGGCTCCTCACCCACATGCAAACAGCACCCCACAACCCCGGAGAAGCAAAACTAGCCAGATGGAGAAAAGAAAAGAAATAAAACCCGTGGCCGCAAAAAATACAAGTACTGTAGGATTCCACTTATAGGTGGTGCCTAGAGTGGTCAAAATCCATAGACACAGGCATAGAGCGGTGGTTGCTGTTGTTTAAGGGGTACAGAGTTCCAGTTTGACAGAACTAAGAGTTCTGAAGCAGGAGGATGGTGAGGGTGGCATATGAAAGATATATTTAACACTACCAAACTGTACCCTTAAAAATGGTTAAGGCGGTACATTCTATGTCATGCGTATTTTAATACAACAAAAAAATTAGGAAAAAAAAAGATTAAAAACCAAAAGCCCTTTCACATACATACAGTTGCGTACACGAATCCCAGAGAGGGGAAGGGTCTAAATGAGGCCGCTTAGCAAATAAATCCAAGATTCCAGACTGTACTCTGGTTACCTGCCCCCAGCCCTGGGGCCTTCACAGCTTCGCTCATCAGGGACATGGGGTAAACATGGTGCTCAGACCCAATCATTACCCCAAAGCCCATAAGTCAGACAAACCAAGCAAAGAGAAGGAAATCAGGAGCCAAGCCTCCTCAGACAGAAAGCTAGACTGCCAGACTGCAGCCGCCCTCCTCCAGAGACTCCTTGTCCCATGAGGGCTGCATGCAGCTGCTCAGGGACCAGCAAGACCAGGGGAAGGGTTCAGGTCCAGCTCCATCACGAGCCAGTGCTGAGACTCAGCATGAAGCACAGAACTTCTGATCCTAGTTCCTCATTTAGCAAAATGGGGAGAGTTGTACCTGTCTCCTGAGTCTGTGGGAAGGACTGAGTGAGAGAATATGTGTCCTGTCGTCTGGCACTTAGCAGGCTCGGGGCCTAGACTACCTTGAGTGATATTGTGATACTGTCGAAAACACATGTTTGGGCTCTGCTCCCTTGTTCCTGAGGCAGAGCTCCTAAGACCTTGATACCTTCCTGAGTGACAGCAGCATCGGATACAGAGCTCCTAAATACCATGGGATTTCCTGGGAGAAGAAGCATCCTTTGCTGGAACGAGGCAACTGTTGAGCTCCTGGATAGCTTCAGAATGCAGCTGTTTGCCAGAGGAACCAACCATATGATTAAAGAGTTGGAACTTTCAGTCCCACACACTGGCCTATGAGGGCAGAGGGGCTGAAGGTTGAATTGATCACCAGTGGCCAATGATGTAATCGATCATGGCTTCTTAACAAAGCCTCCATAGAAACCAAAAAGGATAGGGTTTAGAGCTTCTGGAGAGTGGAGGCCCCTGAAGGGTGATGCCCCGAAGAGGACATGGAGGCACCTGCTCTTTCCTACATGCCCTGCCCTGTGCCTCTCCTCACCTGGCTGCTCCTCTGTATCCTTGATAAGATCCTGTATAATAAACCAGTAACCGCATTTTCCTCCTCAGGTTCAACTAATTTGCAAAGATGGTTTGCAGAACTAAGAGAAACCCCGTCTATTTCTAGATTTTGTTGGTGGGGAGAAACATCCCCACTCTATTTGGTGACCACAAGTGAGTGGTGTGAGTGGTGAGAAGCAGCTTTGTTTCCTTCCTTATACTTGATTCCTCTCTCTTTTCCCTCCTCTAGATTCAGCCTGCCCCAGCCTGCTCTGAAGCTCCCAGGTCCTTCCTGACAGGACCACAGCCCACCCTAAGAGCGGTAAGTGGAATGGGCGCACGCTGTGCAGGTAGGGCAGGATGGGGACTGCAGCAGGCTCCAGAGCCAGTGCCAGGCAAGGTCAGCTTGGAGATGGGGAGACAGCAGCTCTGCGTGGGCCCTGGTGCATGGCCCAGTGATGGGTTGTGGGTGGTGCCTGTGCTCCTGAGGGTACCTACAAATGCCTGGACTCCCACCAACGTGTCAAAGAGCTGGGAAATGGTGGAAGCTGATAGCCCAAAGAACATAGCACAATTATACATACACCTTTCTGCAAACCCCAGCTTGCCTCCTTTTCACTCCTCACCCCCAGCTCTGGAAGCCCTCCCTGGTATGGCTGCATACCACACCCCTCCTCTTGGGGGAGGCAAATGTACATAGCTAGATTCTAGAAGCACTGTTCCTGATTCCAAGATCCTAGGAGGAGGGAAGCTCTAGGTCCTCCCCAGCTTCCAAACCCAGCCTCCAGGAGATGTGGCCAGAGAGAGCAGCAATGGAGGCTGCAAGGCCTCTGGGCAGAGGTTGATAGCTGTCACCACCACAAACCACAGTAACTTGTATGTGTATGAAATGATGACCTCCATCAAAACCCAAGACTGCCCTTGAGAGGCCACATCTGATGAGAGAAAGCCTCAACTATACAGCAGGAAATCCAGGGAACTGCAGTGATGCTAGGCTCACCACAGCTCACCTATTCCTGGTGGCAGTGCCCATCCTCAGGGCCTCAGGCTAACTCACTGGATTCCAGCAAAAGCACAGGCACTACATTGGGCTGAGCAGGGAAAGGAGTGCCTGGCAGGCTGGTGTGAACAAAGCCAGGAGCCCCTTATCCCCTTTCTCATCGGGAATCCCAACATACAGCGACTTTGGAATGGTCACTCCAGACCATGTGTGTGGCTTTGGGGCCTGCAGAGGACATGGCTATAGGCTTGCTGGGGTTGTCTGATCCCTTGAACTTAGACAGATGGGACCTCATCAGAGTTTACCAAGCCTGCCACTTCTTGGGAGCAGCTGTCAGGCCCAGCACCCCTTCTACCCCTGCCTCCACTCTGGCCCAGCCTGGGAGAGATTAAGATTCTCCTTCCAAGCACACTCTCTGGCATTTCCAGGAGGCCACAAATGTCAAGAAATTTAGCCCTTGCTTCCAAGAAAGGTTCAGGTGTGTTGGCTCAGGACAATAAGTCATTGTTTGTCTGATGTTCCATCCCCTGCTAGGCCCCCAACTTGGCCCCTCAGATAGGGGCTATAGGATACAAAGGATTTCCTGGGCTTCTATGGAAATAAAGAGGGGAGGAAAGGCAGCAAGGTCAGTCACACTCTCAGCACCGCCTGCCCAGCCCCTGTGTGGCTGCCTCCACTGGCCCAGTGTGAGAACTGGCTCCATGGTATTCTCCCAGAAAGGCACCACAGTGATGCCAAGATACCCACGCACAATTACTGCCTCCCCTGAGTAAGCAGAGATTGAGACTATACTTTCTGGGGCTTTTAATACAAATCCCTAATGAGACCTCATTAACCACTTAGCTAATAAGCACTTGTGCACTGAGCTTCTCAGCAATCCTGACTTAGGGAGGCATTACTGAAGCATGCAGAGGGCGGCGAGGTTGCTGGGAGGTGCTGCCAAAACTGAGCAGCTGCAGAGCTGCTCTGCTGTTCTACAGCACAGGGCACGGTCTGGGTCATCTGGGCAGGGGATCCAGGATGAAGACCACACCTGATCCCACCTTTCATTAGGGCCAAAAGCCTCCTTTCTTCCCATGGCACCCACACAACCACCCTGAGAGGGTGACATTCTTTAAAGAAAAAAAAAGAGTAAAATGAAAGCACCCTTAAGAAAATTTGCACTGGAATTTGGAAGGACTACGTGTCCTTCCTAACCTGATGAATCGCATTCCAGAACCACTAAGAGGTAGACCAGCACTTCTTTGAGGTCACAGAGAAATGAGGTGATGGAGAACTTGCTCCAGGGATGAGGCAGGGGCCTTTGAAGCCCACCCCAAAGACCAACGTGATGGTGAATGTTGCCCTGGGCATCAAGGGTTATCTTCTATTTCCTGACAGCAGGAAGGCTTTACCGGCTCTCAGAGTGAGGATTTAACTAGCTGGTTTCTGCTCGCTCATTGCTCCTCATATTCTCTGTGGCTAATGACAGGTTTTTCTCTTTTTAAATCTTTAATTCATTATGACCTGTTACTTCCAGATACAACGAAAATAAACTAGAAATATGATCACACACTTGAATGTGTGGCAATATCAAATGGTTCCACAAGTTTCCAATGCTTATTCTCTCTCACTTGCTGTAATCAGGGGATTGCAGCCCAGTCCCTGCCCGTGGACCACACTTTGAGTAGCACTGCTCTAGTCAACTGGGAGAATCACCAGGTTCTTAGGATCCTGAGAAATAAATGTTTAACTCATGGAGAAATCCCAGAGAAGGCATCCCGGTGTTGACCTCAGAGTTAGCGGCGGTGGTTCCTACCAAAGAGAAGCATGCATTGATGGCAAGCCACCACGCTCCTGGGGAGGCTGGTCAACAGAGGAGCTTACGATTAGGCTGGGAACACTTCATCTAAATGCAAAGTTGGGCGATCTGATGATCTGGTCAGAGATGATCATGTTCCAGCCACTAGTTTTTTAAGAATTAGCAAATTTTGAAGTCCCATGAGACTGCTTTTGCAATCTTTTATACACCTCTCAATATTCTTATAACTTTCAAGAATTTGGGTGTTTTCCATTACTTTTTACCCCCTTTTGAATTCTAATTCTTTTTCAGCAAATTAATTAGAACACTTCAGAAGGGGCATCATCTCATGTTACATGAGGTTAACCTCACGTATGCCATTTCCCTTCTATGAGACTCAGCTTCCTCATCTGTAAAATGGAGAGACCACCACCGACCTTGCAGGGCTTCAGAAAAGCTTCCTGACAGAACCCGGGAGGTGCAGGAGGCGCTGGGCAGATAGTGAGCCCAAAGCACAGCCATTTGAGATAAATACTTGAGGGGATGGATACCCCATTCTCTGTGATATATTATTTCACATTACATGCCTGTATCAAAACATCTCATGTACCCCATGCATATATACACCTACTACGTACCCACAAAAATTAAAACAAAGCACGGCCATTTGTGTAGCTTTACATTTCCATGTTCTGGTACTTCTCTCCCATCTTAAATCACTTTCACTTTCCTCTGCACAAGCATGGCGTGGCCCCCACAGGATGAGCTCCCCGCCTCCTCTCCCCAGAGCCAATCTAGACAGAAACATGGTGGCGCAGCTGTTGTCACACACACCCATGCCAGAGGCTACAGATGATGGCTAGACCACCTCTACAAAGAGGCATTTTCCAAGTGATCCTGTGAGCCCAGCAAAGAATATAATGGTCACCTCCTGCATAGCACAGCGTTCCTCACACTGCACTGAGCTGGCCCATCTTCCCCTCAGTTTGCACTCCCTGAGTGACCTGGCTTATTCACCTCCACATTCCTAGCACAAGGCAAATACTGTGAATGCAGGAAGAAGCAGGCTCCAGGCCCTGTTTGTGTGAGAACAATGGAAATGTCCCTCCCTGGGCCTGGAACTGAGCCAAGATTACCAGGTGTCCTGGCTGCACTTCACCGAGTTCAGCCACCTGTGGCCACATGGCCTGCTATGAGCATCCAGCAAGCCCACATGGGTAAGGCAGTGGTGAGAGAGAATGTGCAGAGCCTCAGAGCGCAGGGCTCACATGAAGGGGAGCTTCTGACAGGTAGGGCCAGAGAAGGTCTGCTGGGTCCACTTGGGCAAGGACATCCTCACTGAGGAGTCCTTAGATGAGAAAACACCAGCCTGTTGGACCTGATTCCTCAGCCATATGCCCAGGGCTGGGGTAGGAGGGCAGGCAAAGAACTGAAATCACCGTGTTCAAGGGTGCCTGGAAATTACAAGTTCAGAGCTGAGACGCGGGCAGGCCTTAGGGGCTGCGAGCTCCCAGTAAGAGCCCATGCCTGCCCAACTTCATCTCCTGGTGCCAGGCACCGAGCTGCTGATCATAAGTGCTTCGCTCCTAGAGCCCTGCAGGTGGGTCTAATAATCCCCCTTTGCAGGTGAGGCAGCTGAAGTTCAGGGAGGCTCTAACTCACCTGAGGACGCACTGTTCTCAAATGGCTGGGATGAAAATGGAACCCTGAAGGTGACTTCTTTTCCTTTAGAAAGAGAGGGATCAACATGCATTTCAGGTAAATGAGCTTTCTTTCAGAATTCTCTTCCACTGGGGAAAGAGAAGCTTTACAGGATACTTCAGGCATTTTGCAAATATTAGGACATTGCAGTATTCCAGTCACCTCAGAGTAGCTGCTCTCCTCTCCATTTTATAGGTTAAGAAACTAATGTTCAGAGAGGTTCACAAACTTGTCCAAGGCCACACAGTGAGTAAGTGGTGCTTTGAATTCAAGTCTGATTAGAAACTCATATCCGTCTTCTGGTACTCTGCAAATTAAAACCCCCCAGACTGGGATGCACACAAGAGACCTCCAGAAGGTTGCTTAGCTCTATTCCCAGGATAGAAGGAAGAACAGTTGAGGTTGGAGGTAGCCTTGAGACCTGTCCCTGAGATTTATATCCTCCTATTGGATCAAACAAAGGCAGATTGTCCCAGCATTTCCCCCTTTCCCTCTAATATGCAAATCTCTAGAGTAAACCCTGCAAATCCAGTTTTAAAACAAACACCCCCAAGGGTAGAGAAAGCTCCTTTTGCAATGTCCAGTGTTCTTCTTACCCTGGAGGACAGAGGGGCAATTCCCAGCCCAGTGAAGGGCCCCCCTTGCCCAGCTGTGCAAACGCTCAGTGCCCTCTTGTTCTTGCAAGAGCTCACCAGCATGGCAAACAGCCAGCAGCCAGCAGCCAGCAGCCAATAGCTATGCCATGGGCCAGATCTGCAAAGTGGCCTCCCTTCTGGAAGAGTGAAACTAACTAATGACTGATAGGGAGCTGAGATCACAGAAGAGGGCTGGTTTGACCTGAGTCTGGGCACAGACCCACAATCTACGGCCTGGGAAGACAGACTCTGCCAAGGATCTGAGCCTAGTCCTCAAGACTCCCTGTGACCATTCAGGCCAAGAAACTTGCACCACTCTGAATTTTAGAGCAGAATATCAATCTGATAGGGCGGGCAAGTGGAGTCTGAAGGCAGACCCCTGGCTCCCTGTCTTGGAGTCAGCAACTCAAGTTTGCATTCCTGTGAGTAACAAGTGCTACTTAAGTTTGGCTAAGTCTGTTCCCACGAGGAGATGATTATTCTTGGATCCTCAGAATTGGCATGGAAGACCCTAGGGCAGGAGCAGAGACAAGCTGCCTGCCAGGAAGTTGCCAAGGACTAAGCATCAGTTTCTAAGTGCATTTTTCTTCCTCTGGCTTCCCTGAATTCAGGCAAACTTGGGTCAATTGGGCAACACGAACACCCCCAAATCTGTTTGGAAGAAGCATTAAGGCCCCAGGCTCTAGGAGAGAAACTCCCTGAGCTGCACCAGGATAAAACAAATCTGTTTATCACCAAGTCATCACCTACTTTAAGGAGCAGCCAGTTCTCTCCTCAGAGAAGGCTTTGATTCTGCCAAATCCTGCATGTGGAAAGCCCAGTGCTGAATCAATGGTGGGGCAGAGTTTGGGGAGGGAGGGGCTTCAAGGCAAGGAGTGAGGCTGGTGACATCCTAAGACTGCTTTAAACGAGCAACTTGCCACTCCATCCATAACTGTCTGCAACGGAATCACAGTACAACCGGCACAGACCTGTGAGTGTAGGTACTTAGAGAAACTGAGGCACAGAGAGGCTAAGTGACTTGCCCAAGTGTTCATTCTAAGAGCTCCTCCATCATTCCCAGCCGTACTGTGAAAGAAACATCAGCCTGTAATTAAGATGTTGGAGGCTGTAAAAAGAGCCCAATTACATCATCATCTAATGGCCAACGCTGGTTTGGGAGATAGAATTTTTTAAAAGGAAAAAAATGGAGCAGTTGTTCTATCACAACTGGGGAGAAGAAGCAAGGAACAAAGCTGTAGAGGTGGGGACAGTAGATCTGGGGTTGGCCATCACAAAGCCCTCCCTGTCCCTGAGTGTGGGGCTTTATGTGGACGCAGCCTCTGGGCTGATCCCTCTGATAAGGCCCTCATGCACGCGCAGCTTCTGCAGTACGCAGGAGAGCACCTGCCTGGGAGTCGGAACGCTGGGCTCCAGTCTCCTCCCGGAGCCTTTGCCCTCTTACCTGTGGCTCTGCTCCTGCTCAGTTCTCGCAATCACAGGAAGAGCTCACCAGCCCCCACCCTGTCACTCCATTTAACATTGTCACCCTTCCTTCCCCAGCAATCCGGGTCCCCACCACCAGCTCTAGGTTTTTCATAGGAAATACTGTCTTGCCCTCTAACACATTATGTGATATACTGATAAATTATGTTGATTGTTGTAGGCTACTAGGGTGTAAGCCTCATTAAGGCAGGGATTTAACTCTTATGCATCGATGCAAATCCTGAGAGCCTGAAGTGCCTAACACTGGATTGTCATTCAATAACTATTTGTTATTTATTGAGGGTGGAAGTTCATGTCTGTAGTCTCAGCTACTCAGGGGTGGAGGGCTGAGGCAGGAGGAGCACTTGAGCCCAGAAGTTTAAGGTTGCAGTGAGCTATGATCACACCACTGCACTTCGGCCTGGGTGACAGAGACCCTGTCTCAAAAATAAAATTTGTTGAATGAATGAGTGAATGTTTACACATTAGAATTCTGAGTGACACTGGTAGAGAAAGCTCCTTTTGTAATCCTCAGTGCTCTTCTGACCCAGAAGGACTGAAGGGTAGCTCTCAGCACGGTGAAGAGCCTCCACACCCGCCCGCCCAGCTGTGCAAAAGCTCAGTGCCTTCTTGTTCTTGCAAGAACTTACCAGCATGGCAAATGGCCAGCAGCCACACCATGGGTCAGATCAGCAGTGGGCTCCCTTCTAGAGGAGCAAAATTAACTAATGACTGAGAGGGAGCTGAGTCCTCAGGGGAGGGCTGCCTGAAGAGCCAGAGAGAGTGGCAGGCAGGGCCTCAGCGGGTGTGATGATGATGTGATGGGGACAGGCTTAGTGGCTGAACGCATCACTGTCTTACCCAGCAGCTCCACATGTTCCCAGCAGGCTGCTCCCTGCCCTCTTAGAGGAAACTCATGCCCAGTGGAAACTAGGTCAAGGAACTTGAGAGGTGTAGGGGCTTTTCTTGCCCTGGTGCTGACCCCAACAGTGACCATGCCAGACTTTCCTGAGGATGGGAGAAAGGCAGGGACAGGAGAAGGCCTTGCCTGACTCTACCCTGAAGGGCCCAGGCAGCTGAAGGGGGCTGGGCCAGAGAGAAGCAGGGTTTGGGCCTGGCTGACCAACTCTGATCATAAGCCACTGCCTGGTCTGTGCCCAGGTGCCCTCTCCCCTCCCACCATCCTGCCAAGGGTGCCATGACCTTTTCACATAGTAGGGAGTATACCCCAGGGAAGGCCCCTTTCCCTAGTTGGGCAAAAAGCCCACCCTGCAACCTTGCTGATGGTGATGACAAAAATGCCTGTCTCTACCCATATAGCTCACTGTAATGTGAGCCCAGAACTGCTCGTATTGAGGAGAAAGACAGAGGCCCAGATGGGTCAGGAGACTTAAGTCAAACAGCTGACCTTGGCTGACCTGGAGCAGGTATCTGGGTATCCTGACGTGCTGACCATGGCTATTTTCAGTGGCACTGAAGATCGTGTTTGTGTTTCTCTTTGTTACCTGGTACTGCCCTTTCCGGGGTGCTTCTCATTCACACAGGGGGCCTCTGTGGTGGGGCCAGTGAGACTCCTTGCTCCTTTCCTGGGGACTCTACCTACACTGTTCTCCTCATGGAGGTAGAGGCCAATAGGGGTGGGACCCCCCACATTATACACCAAGAGGCAGCTTCTAATGTTTCACTAATGTAATAGCACAGAGCCGGGCTGTGCATCAGTCCAACAGCACAGAAACAGACCAGCACTCCTTCTGGCAGCGGGACACTCAGCAAGACACACTGAGCCTCGGTGCGAGCCAGACACGCTGGCTGTATACACAGAAGCACAGTTGCGGGGTGGAGTCGGGGAGACTCCAAACCTATCCCATGAGCAACAGCTCATGAGGTAGGCTTCACACCCATTTCCAGCCTCATTCATTCCAGAGTCCTGGATTCCTAGAAGACAGACCTCTCCCACCCCAGCCTGGTATTGTTCTCAGCACAGGAGGTAACAGGACAAGAAAAGAACATGAAGAGCACCCCCAAACCCAATCTTAATCATTGTTTGTGAGTGCATTTCACTAACTGCTTATCCAAAGTTAGCTCCCCACTCTTCTCATCCTACATGTCAATCTCTGGACTACTGAGTCGTCCTGCTAGAATGCAGAACAGATCTTGCAGTGGCTTCCTATAGTCCGAGGATAAAATAAAATTCCTTTACACAGAGTGGGCTCACTTCCACTCTCCCTGCCCCATAAATACTTTTATCTATAAGTTCAAGTCACACCAGACACTCCATCTTTCCATGCCATGCAAGCCCCGCCTTCCTGCCTTTGCACAGGCTAGCCCCTCTCCAAAACGCCCTTGCCCTAAACTTCTCTGTAGCAAAATCCCCCCACAGAACCTTCAACACTCACTCAGTTCCCATATTACCTTCTGTATTACCTCCCCTCTCCATTTCTACAATCTTGCCCTTTATACCTCTTACAGAATTAATGAACAGTATTACATTAAGTTTACCATGTGAAATTGCCATCTTATTAGGACACAACAGGCAAATACATCCACTATTTTGTATTGTAAAAATAGTGGATGCTATTAGTCTATGCTAATGTGCAGTTTCCCATCTCAACCGTAGTAAGGGAACTGCACTGCCCTCTCTGTTTTCTCAGCATCTGGCATGGAGGGTGGCATATGGTGGGTCCTGATTAATGCTTGCTGAATGAATGAGCCCTGTTTGGCAAGCTTTTGTGTGCTGCCTGTTCTGCCATGTTGTGTGCTCTAATGCAAAAGCAAAATCAATCCAGCACTCTTGTAAAATATCTTACAAATTTGTATTCTAGCCAACCAGGCTTGAGATGTTTGTGCAGGTCGAGTGGGGCATGAAAACATCTGGGAACATGCAGGAGGTGAGGAAAGCAAATTGTTCGGAACAACTACCTTTCTGGCAGGAGAAGCAGAGTCAGCAGTTGATGGAGAAGAAGCAGCTGGATCAGGAGACGGAAGGCAAGAGGGAGGAGATGGAGGATGAGTATGAGACAGGCCTTTAGAGAGTTTATTCTGCACAGAACAAAGTAGAAGAAACGAGGATTATCCCAGTAGTCACACGCGGTGATAGACACCTCGATCATGCGGTCCCATGCCCGTGCACGCAATGGGGCAAAGAAAGGAGACCCATGTCTCAGGACAAAACAGAAACCCCTGGCTTTGGAGCCAGGCAGGATTATCTGGCTCCTGGTTACACTGCATTCTGCTGCAACTATTCCAGCTCCCTTGTCACACCAAAATAGCTCACGCAGATTCAATCCATTCCTGCCTACATCCACCTCGGACACCAACGCCAATTACCAAAGCCCTCACTCTGGAGCTTGGTATGAAGTAGCAGCTGCAAGCTTAGGACAGGAGAGCCCTGGGCTGCTTCAGGGCAGGTGGCCACAGCAGGGGCCTCTGTGGCTGCAGCAGACAACTGTGCTAGCCTCCTAGCAGCCACGTGGAATCCTAAAAATCAAGTAAGTGTAAAGCATCCTTCCCACGTCAGTGACTCCACCAAGTAGCAGAAGATGCAGGCCTGGAGGAGATGAAGTGAAAACAGTGGAGAGCCAAGTTCTAGGACCAGGCATGCTGCGAGGGAGGGAGGACTTTACACATACACCCACCTGCAGGATCTCATCATCCACTCTTTTATCTCCTCTCCGGCACACGCTCTTCTTTTCAGTGAATTTCCAAAGAAGTACCTGGCTTGAGGAGGCTGCACTTCCTAATTCTAAGGCAAAGCCATTCTTGTTGGATTGACTTTGCCCCATGGGGAAGCGGAGCCCCAGTTACAGCATGTGCTTGGCCTCATCATTCAGTATCTTCCTGATCAGGGCCACAGGGAGATTTCTCTCTCACACCCCAAAACATCACAGGCAACTGGGTAAAGGCACTGTGATTCTGCAACTTATGACTGTTTCCTGTTTGCAGTGACCCTGAGGAAACTCAGAGCCTGCATGGAAAATATCCAGGGCCTACCAGCTTGTGCTTCTGTTTAGAAATGTCTTTCTTGACCTGAGTTTACTTTCCTGCCTTAGTTTTGCCTTATTTTGAATCTGCATGTTTGGGTCTTTTTTAGATGCCAGCTTGAATTATTTAGTGGCTTGAAAAATAAATAGTTCCTCATGCTATAAAAGCAGGAGGAAGGAGAAAATTGAGCTCAGAGCCCGATTCAAGGTCATCTGGCTGGATGTCCAACATCTGGGTTCCTGGGGGCTCTGAAAGCCCCATGTTTACCTGCGGGAAATCCCCGTGTCCAAACATGGAGGCAAGGTGGGCCGCCTTCTCCTTAATGTTCTTTGTGTGAAATTCCCTGTTGGCCAAGTTCTGAGCCCTCTTCTGCAGTGAAGGTGAGAATGGAGAAAGAAAAGAGAGATAGTGACAGAGACTGAGACAGTTGCTTCCAAGAAGTGGGTGAGGGAGGCAGCCAGGGGCCTCACCTACTCACCACACCACACACAGCAGGACAGGAGACGGGGGCGGAGGGGGGGCAGGCAGGCAGAGGGAGGAGGAACCCACGTGGGAAGAAAAGAAGTCTCCCAGACACGAACAGAGACAGGGCAAAAAGTGAGTCTTTCACCTGGAGAATCTTTTCCTCCACTTGCTGCAGCCGCCACAGCACCCCGGAAAGAGCCTGTGCCCTCGGGCGGGTAGGAGGCAGGGTAGCGAAATTTTCTGTTCCCCCTAGCTGTAGGTCAGACTTGGCTCTGGCTCTCCAGGGCCTGCCCAGGCACTCGCTGCCAGCAGACACTTGCTTGAGCTCTCTGAGCACATGCCCCGTCACCACCACAGAGGGGAACTGGGAAAGAGGGAACATTAAGCTTCCTTCCCTACTGTGGCCCTCTCATACACCCCACTGTGAGGAAACCCCTATGAAGACCAGGGACAAAGGGTGCACCAGGTGCAACTCTAAGTAGGATTCCAAACCAGCCCCAGGAATTGATTCTCTACCTGCATCAAAACTGCCTGGCATCCTCACTCACAATACATGGTCTGAAGCCTCACCCCAGACCCCCGGAATCAAAACCTGTACAATGCTGGTTCTCAATCCTAGCTGCATACTGGCATTATGGGTACCTAAGAAAAAAAGACCCAAGTCTGGGCCCAACCCCCAGAGATTCTGATTGCATTGTTCTGGACTGGGCATGAGTCAATGGCAGTGTTTAAAAAGCTCCCCAGGTGAGGCACACAGACATAAAATTTCGGCATTATATTCACACTGACCTTATTCAACCTCCACCACCTGGAAGCAACACACAAATCCTAATGCTAACCAGAAACCTTTGCGGCTTATGGCCAATAGTAGTGATTCTGCGCAGATTCCAAACTCAAGCACCACTTGGCATAAGCCATACTCTGTGACTGCCAGCTGCGTTCCTGCCCACTATGCAGGTCTACTCTGGTACCTGGAAGGCCTCGCCACATCCCAGCCTTACCCCTTCAATGCATCTAGCCAAGTGGCCACCTGGGCCCGTTTCAACATCACTTTTTCATTGATTTGGAAATCAGCCTATTCGAATGGTCTGCAGATAATGCTTAGTGTCATGGGGCATCATACAAAATACCCTGGGGTACAGTTTATTTTTCCCTAGCAGCACCACTGAGACCATGGTATTTGGTCAACTGATACTTCTGACTGGCTAAGGGATCCATGAAATGTATTTTGTGATGCTGCATACTTGGTTATTCTTACCAGTAAGGGTGGTGACCTCAAGGTGTGTCCAGAGAATCTACAATCAGCCATACCTGGGGTGTGGGAAGAGCCACTGACCCCACCCCTCTGGATCAAAGTCCCCTCTGGCCTTTACCAAAACAGCATCTACTGAAAGGAGCCCTACCTGCCTTTTCAATGGCGGTGACGGGCTGGGTGTGGGCTCCTCCGGCTTGGGGCAGCAAGAGTGAACAGGAGGGCCAGAGGAAGAGCACAGGACGGGCTTACCTATCCCTGAGACACGGCGTTCCTGGGAGGAGAAAGGCGAGTCCAAAAAAGCAGCCACAGGAGACATGAAGGAAAAGGTGAGTCAGATTGAGAGGCTCAGAGGGAGGAGAGAGAGGAGCAGGGAGACGAAGTTTGCAAGTGCAGAGACAGCACTGGGCTGAGCTCCTGCAAGCCAGGCCCAGCTGGGAAACTTGAGCCCTGGCTCCCTGTCCATGTGAACAGTGAGTCCTGGAGTCCCCTTCTCGTGGACAAAGTGTGAATCCCAGGGTGGCTTTGCTTTTGGCTCAGACACAGCGCCTTAAGCAGGCACTGCCAGAGCCCATGCCAGGGCAGGGTGGCTGGCTCAGGAGTCCGCCTGGAAATGGAAAAGCTTCCTGCCCACTCAAGGACAGGGATGCTCTGGTACTTTTGATGGAACTGAGTCCTCATCAACACTTAGGGACTATGAGGGGCAAAGCCTCCAGAACAGGTATCCAGAAAATTTGTGGAGAATTACAGGAATGGTCCTGTAATTCAAGGAAATGGTCCCCTTATAATAAAATCCCTTGACTTCCTGGAGAAGGTCAGTTTGCCCAGGAGACATACAGTCCACATCAAGACTAAGGAGACACCTCTGGTTGCCTCTAAAGCTACTAACTAAGAGTCAGAGTCTGTCCTCCCAAAAGGAGCCTCATTCTGTCATGTGACAGGTGTTCACCATAGAAAAACCAACCTCTTTTCCCAAGCTTCTGTAATGTGACAAGAGCATCCTGAAAGAAGTTCAGGGGAGCAAACCGAACCACGAGGCACACACCTCAGAGCCGGAATCAGGAGGAAGCCTGCAGCCTGACACAGCATTCAGCCTCCGACAGCCTCAGACTAACCCCCGTCAGACACAACAGCCTGCCAGGCTTCCCCAGTGCAGGGAGAGAGGAGAGTGCCAGGAAACACGTGTGAGGCTGGCCTTCAGTACTGTGAGCTCAGACTCAGTTCCTCTGGTTTGAATGGATCTTCTCAGTGTGGACTTTGTAGTTTCCCAGGCAGCTGGCCTCTCAAAGCTCCCTCAAACTGTATCACCTCAAAACTGGCTGCAAACCAAGTCATGGTTGGAAAGGAAAACCAAATTAGGGAACAGATTTTTTTAATGCAGAACAAGCACGGGCAAACTAGGCCCATGGGCCACATCTGGCCTGCTTCTGTTTTTTGCAAATAAAGTTTTATTGGAACACAGACAGGCTCATTTGTTTGGGTATGTCTGCCGCTGCTTTCGTACTACAATGGTAGGGTTGTAACAGAGACAGTATGACTTCCAAAGCACTAAAAAACTGCTATCTGGCCTCTTATAGAAAAGTCTGTTGACTCCTGATCTAGAAGGAGCTCAGGTCTCCTTGGGACCAGGCCTGGCTGGCATATCTGAAGTCTAGCAGTAGCCAAAATATTCCTGCCGAAAAGTCACCAGGAAGTCAGGTCCAGTGAGTATTTGACATGACTCACCTGCTTCATGAGTGAGGGGTTCCGAGTGCTCTCCTCAAACTTGGCCAGCAGCTGATTCGCCATGGACTTGACTTTGTTCTGATTTCCACCTTCTTTACTCCCACACTCTTGATTGGAGCCCAAGCTACGGCTGGAAAAGTTTGAAGGCTGCAAAGGTTGAAATGGGACACTGATGGTTACTGGACATCAGAAAGCAGACTTGGGGACTCAGGACATGGGACTAGTTTCCTGCAGAAGGGCTCCCTCCATGGTCCTGAGGAAGGGAGGCAGAGCCCTGCAGAGACAACGCTCACAGGAGGGATATTTCTTTCCAAAGGATGGGCACAGCTAGGCTTGGGAGCCAGACAGCTGGGGTCTGAATCCCGACTTTCATTTCTTAGACCTGTGACACTGGCGATTTACTTCTCTGACATTATTTCATGGATAAAATGAGAACAGTAATCTACTTCACATGATTACTGCAAAAACCAAATATAATCATGAAGTGCTGAACAAAGTGGTTTTCAAAAATACATCATCTGGCTGAGAAGAGGAGATGAGTGGGGATGGGGGAGCAATGAGGGAGTCAGTAGGGGGTCACTCTGGCAAGGCCTGGGCTCCAGGATCTTTCTCCTCTATCCTCTGTACCCCACCCCCAGCTTTAGCCAGCCCTGTTCTATTTTTGCTATCTTTTTGAAGAAAGCTTTTAATTTAGAAACAGTTTTAGATTTACACAGGAGTTGCAAAGATAGCACAGATTGTCCCTGCATACCCTTCACCCAGCTGCCAGCAGTGTTAAATCTGGAATAATTGCTCCTGTCATCAAAATTGAGAAATTAACACTGGCACAATACTATTAACTGAATTATAGCCTTTATTTGGATTGCATCAGTTTTTCCACTCATATCCTTTCTCTGTCCCAGGATTCAATCCAGGATCCCACGCTGCATTTCATCATCCGGTCTCCTTGGTTTCCTACAAACCATAACAGCTTCTGTAACAGACTGACACTCTGTGAAGGGTACTGAGCCGCTGTTTCATAGAGCCCCTCAGTCTGGGTTGGTCTGATGTTCTCTCATGATTAGACTCTGGGAAAGGACACTGCCGAGGTGAAATGCTCTTCCCCTGCCCGTACAGCGGGGTGCATGATATCAACATGACTTATAAGTGGTGATGTAGACCTTGATCATTTGGTTACGCTAGTTTATAAAACAGAGTTCCATATAAGATTTCTCCAGCTCATCTGCTAACAGTAAACAATTGAAGATGACCAGTGTGTACTTAAGAGGCTCTGCTCCCCCTTACTGCCGGATCTCCTCCCACGGGCCTTGGAAGTATAAATGGTGCTGCCACAACAAGCGGGCAGTCGGTTTTCCCAGGGACACCAGGAGTGTCCCTCACAGGAAGAGACATTCTCACGACAACAAAGATGTGTTCATTTAGAAGAAATTCACAGGAAGAGGCAAGCTGCAGTTAATTTTTTAAAAAAGATCCCTAGGTGTGGCAGCCCCATGGGAAACCTAGTATGTAGAGCCACTCTGAGCGTTTTGGACAAACACACACCAAAGAGGCACACGCTCCTTCGAAATGCAGTGTAACTGTGCACAACAGCACAGGCTTGAGTGAGAAGAGGGTGTGTTTACCTGGGCAGTCACTGTTTGTTCAACACCAAAGTTAGCCAGGACAGTGGGCCATATAGGCCAGCACTGTCACGCACGAATGGGCCCATGAATCATCTGGAAATCAATCCTCAAAAGCAGATTTGATTTCTGTAGGTCTGGGGCGGGCCCTGAAAACCTGTGCATCTAACAAGTACCCAGCTGCTGCTGCTGGATCTTGGATCAGATTTTGAGTAGCAAGAATTTAGAAAGAATACTGCTTTGTTAAAACTGACTTTAAACAAAACAGTTGCCCCAGGAGACTGTCCAGGGCATCTCAGAAAGTGTAGACACAAACCAGATTTCTTCCCACTCCAGCTCCTGTGTTGCCAATAACAGAAACAACACTCACATCCCTTAAACAAGCTACGGGTGAAAGGCAGGAAAAGACTTCTGCCTGAGACAAAGCGTACCCAAGGGCAGCTTCTTGAGAACAGGCAGGAGCAAATCCCAGGCCCTGTAGGTGGAGAGCCAACACCCGTAACCTGGGAAATGGAACATGTCTCTAGCCCTGTGCAGCCTCTGCTTCCTCTCTGTGTCTCTATTTGCTGGCTCCTTGCTTACACCACAGCCAAGAGGTGGGGAGGCAACAGTGCTTGAAGGAAGCACCTTCAAGAGCTGTAGGAAAATGTTCAGGCCAGGGTGTTTTGAACTCATTGGGTAGAATGGGTTTCTTCACATTTTAAGATGTGAACTGAACTGGTTTTTCTTCACCAGCACTTCCCTCTGACCACCCCGGAAAATGAGTGGAATGGCTGGCTGCTGCTTTCCCCAAGGAGAACCTCACGGCTCTACTTATTATAATGCTCACTGTTGTGAGATACAGCAAGTCAGACACAAGCAACCATATCATGCAAATATACAGCAATAAAAGTCTTCAACCATATGCAATAGAACAAGTCCCTTCTACCTCCTATAAATCAGGAATCAATGTATTATGCAGATCGTCCTGCATGCCTCTCCGTCATTTCGGGGTCAGCCAGCAGGCTGGCCAAAGTTGGCATCCTACACTTTGCTGACGATATGCATGCCTGTGGAGTTAGAATGGCTTTGTTTTAATGAAGTCTATATCTCAGGTGTCTTTTAAAAGTCGTCCAGGGAAGCAGGAATTGATACTCTTTTTCTGCTTGATGAATTTTTCAGAAGCAGGGGAGAGATTCAAGCTCTCCTTTGACAACGTAACCTGTAATCTTCTTCTTTCACCAGAAGGTGGCACTTGTGGGCACCAGGACATTTGCCTTCAAGACTAAAAGCAAAGGAAATGCAAAGGAATACAAAGGACGACTGGGAGAAAGTGGGAGTGCTGACGCCTCTTACCATTTCCTATTAGTAGTGACTGTATATTGATTAACAGGTGTCAGATACCATGTTCACCTTATTCATCTTTAAAAGTCCTGCAAAGTTTCATGCGTTTCAAGTGTGTCATTGCATGTTACAGGCATGAACCACATCCCCGGAGGTTGTTTCTCAAGGTTACATAGCTAGCAAGTAGTTCCAAAACCCCAACTGTTTTTCCATCACGCCAAGCCTGGAACCCAGTGGTTCATGACACAGGGAAGGAACAGGGCCAGGCTGCAGCCACAGTGAGGCCGCCCGTGGCCACTGGCTGTCAGGAAATCAGCCTCTGTTTAAACCCACACTGTGTACACAAACCTGGTCGACGTTATTGAAGCCCTTCCGCCTCCGTTTGTTCATGTCATTCTCTCCGGTTTGACCATCCACCTGCAATGGCCAAGAAAGCAGGGTGAGCTCAGGGGGCCAGCAAGGGCTTCAGTCCCACTAAGACCCCTCAGGGCACAGGGCTGGCTTTCAGCTGGCACTGCACATATGTCCCTGTCCGCAAACAGGTGTCAGCCTACAGGCAGGTGTGATAGTAAATTACCCTGCACTGTGACAAACGCTGTCACAGAGGTTTGTTCGGGCACAGTGGAGAGAACCTCACCCCATTTAGGGAGCCAAGGCTTCCATCAGAAGGGGCGGGAATGACATCTCCAAAGATCATCATGAAACATCAAAGCAAAAAGAATCCCAGTGACATAGGCAGGGCCAGGATGATCTCCATTGCAACGTGGCCTTGAGCTCCGAGCAGTTTAATGGATTGCCCAAGGCCACAGCCAGGCCTGTGTGCTGCCTTATGGACCCCAGGGGTCTCTCTGCAACCAGGGAGCCTCTCTCCCACAAGGCCACCTGGTTCACCTCACACGCACTCTCAGGACTCAAATGAGCTGCCCAGGGATTTGATGGCAAATTAAGTGTGCAATTCGGTCACCATCGCAGATACCAGTAAACTATATTTTATTAACTCCAAACACGCCTGAACTATAGCCCGATGACTAGCATGATCACACAGCCTGGTTTGCTGGAGGTGTGTGTGAGGGTAGTTCTGATTTGCTGCTTTTTACCTCCTACCTGATTAACAGTGCCCTCTTCACTCCCAGAAGTCTCCTGGTTTAGATGATACAGGACATGATTGCCCTATGAGAACCCCTTACAGCCCACTCTCTGCTGCATGAATCTGGACATTTAAATCTGGGAAGCCCTGCTCTATCCAAGCCCATTGCGTCACCCTGCAAGGGCTCCCAAAGGGCACTTGGTTGTTGGGCTTGTCTCCTCAGGGAGGGGCAGAACTCTGGAGGCTGAGCTGATGCTATGTCTGGAGTGGGACTGACTGAATTTAGTACTCCTCTGCACCCCATGGGTAAGCCTACTCTTGACACTGGGCTTGGGTCCACCTAGGCTCCCCTATCCTTTCTGGGGTAAGACCTCTCTGCTACCAGTCTCCAGCCACTGGGGCCTTCTCCAAATGGCTAGCTCTCTCAGAACCAGAGCCATGTCCCACCGACCATAGATTGGGGCAGGGAGCATCCTACTGTCTCAGAGGGGGTCTCCATAGCAGGCCCACATTAAATCCTAGCTTTGCTACCATTTTGGATGCAGGGGGAAGTGCTACAGGCCACCTGCTCACCCCAAACCCAGGCGTACAGCCCAGTCAGCCCTATAAATCCTAATCTACTCAATCACAGGGGGATTCTTTCACCTCCTGGTTGTTCTGAAACAGCAATAGCTACGGGCACCCCACTGCCCAGCCCAGTATGCTCCCCTCCCTCCAACGGAAAGCACCTGCTTCCTCGTCTCTTGTCCTCTTCATCATCCCCTGCCCTCTCCCCACGTTTGCCAGCACCAGTTTTCTTTGTGTTTGTCTTTAAAGACAAGATCAACCACAGTTTAGTCCATTGATATTTGTTCAAAAATTTGACCCAGGCAGCACAAAACAACACATCAAAGGGCCTGCCTTCTCTTCAACATTTTCCTCAGCTTCTAAGAAATCATTATTCTGTGAATGGAAATGATTTCAAGCCAAAAGCTTGGGCAAACACCAAGAGAAACAGATGACCTTATTTGCAACAATGTTGGGTCTTAGAGGAACAGGCTGTCTGGACCCTCAGCGTTACAGCCTGGGAATGCTGCTCTGGCCAGCCGAAAACTGGGGCCTGTGAAGGTACAAAATGTCCTACCCAACAAGAACACTTCATGCATAATCTTAGGGGTTTCTGGTTTTTTTGTTTGTTTTGTTTTTTGGTTTCTACCTTAAATGAGGATTTGACTTTTCCTCCAAAGAGCAAAACATTTTCTCTCTTTTGTACTCAACAGCCCAGGGTGGGACTGTTCCACTGGAGCCTCTACAGATCAAAGACAGCACTATTAGCCCAGGGCTTAAGAAAGGTGTTCCTGGGAGACTGTGCCCAGCCAGCAGCCCCTGAGAAGACTCCAAATCCTTCAGGGTGAATAAAGGACACGGACAGAGACAACCTCAGCCCCTGTGACCCACCCTGAGCCATGGGTCAACCAAATGTAGTCTACATGGAAAGGTTAGAAACACACATACCCAGGTGGTCTCTACTTTTTCCCTATGAATTTAACATCGAAGCACTGATTCTTAACTAAGAGCTGGGCTAAAGCAAAAAGGTTAAGAACGTTCAAACCTAGAGATTTATCTATTTTTTCTTATCTGTATTTGGGAACCAAAATTGCTTCAGTATTCCCTTGTCCTTGGACCCTATTTTACTCTACAAAGAATTGAAAGTACAAGAAGAAAGAAAATACTTACTGTGCCCAAAGAGAACCTGAGAACAAATAACTTACGTTCTTTTCCTATTAATGTTTCCAGGCTTTCCACCCTAAGAATACTTTCTTATCAAGACTGAGCAATCATTTGAAAGAGTCTATATACCAAAAGGCATTTATTAAACTAATTGATTTCCCCATTAAAAAAAATCGTAGACCTGCCAATCTGAACATTTATCTGATGAGCACAAGATAACCATGTTCCTATACTGCCTGAGTTAATGTGGTTTTAGCTCAAAGCAAACAAATTGTATATTTAGTTAGCTGGTAGAGCCCAGCCCAGGAATAGTTTAGAAATGGCTCATAGGAAGAGAGGTTGGCCGTTGCACACTATGGCCTTGCTGACTTGGGCAGCAGCTATGACATTTAGAAAGATGGCCAGTGACACCGGTGAGAAAGTGCGTTCTTCAAGGAATCGTGGATTTCAGTGCTGGTACTAATTATTTCCCAGCTGTGTGATCTCAGGAACGGCATCCAACTACTTTGACTTCAGTTTCCTTAACTAAGTAGAGATCTCATACTGTTTAGTTCATAAGGTGCTGTGAGGGTAATGAAATCGCAGATGTAAAACACTTCTATAAAGTGTTAGTAGTCTTCCCTCATCCATGGCAGATGCATTCCAAGGCCCCCAGCGGAAGCTGGAAACCATGAATAGTGCCGAACCATGTTACTAGATCAAAAAAACATAGATCAGTTACTAGATCATACCTATGTTTTTTTGATCTAGTAGCTGAGACGGCTAAGGTAACTAATGGGTGGGTAGCGTATACACCATGTATATACTGGACAAAGGGATGATTCCCATTCCAGGCAGGATGGAGTGGGAAGGTGTGAGATTTCAGCATGCTACTCGGAATGGTGTGCAATCTGAAACTGAATTGTTTCTGGAATTTTCTTTTTAATATTTTTGGACCATGAGTGAATACAGGTCACTGAAATCTTGGAAAGCAAAACCACAGATAAGGAGGGGACTACGGTACAAGTGTTAGACACTACTGGTGAGGCTAGTGTCAGTAACAGACTTCTATTTTATTTTATTTATTCTTTTTGGGGACAGGGTCTTGCGGTGTTGCCCAGGCTGGAGTGCAGTGGTGTGATCTCAGCTCACTGCAACCTCTATCTCCTGGGTTTAAGTGATTCTCGTGCCTCAGCCTCCCAAGAAGCTAGGAAGGTGTACCACCATACAGGCTAGCTTTTGTATTTTTAGTAGAGACAGGGTTTCACCTTGTTGGCCAGGCTGGTCTTGAACTTCTGGCCTCAAGCAATCCACCCACCTCACCCTCCCAAAGTGCTGGGATTACAGGCATGAGGCCCCATGCTTGGCAGAGTAACAGAATTTTAAACATCTGAATTCTACTTCTGGCTTTGACATTTACCACCTACATGACTTATTAAAATGTAATCTTTCCAAGTCCAAGTTTCCCTATCTAAAAACTGGCATGAAAATGTGTTCCCAGCCTTCCTCCAAAGGTGACATGAGGAGCAAATGAGAGGTATATGAAAGTGTTTTGTATTCTGTAAAGTGCTGTCCTGACTGTGGTGGCAGTACAGAACCAAGTGTTCAAGCCAGACAGTTTTACTCATCTTTTGAGAAAACAAGCATCTTCATTTAATCATCATTTTAAAGGAAGAGAACTATCATTCGCTGAGCCCCTTCCACCCCCAGACACGGTGCTCAGACCCGCTACACACATGTGCTCGCCTCATCTTTGCAGCAATGCTATGATGTATATGTTATTACCCTCATTGAAGGCAAGCAAAGGAGCCTCTGAGAGGCTAGAGCATTTGCCAAATCCCCAGCAGACCTGACTATGTGTTTGTCTGCCTGACTTCTAACTGCATTCCCAATCTGTAAACCAGCTCTGAGTCCCGGACTGAGATTGCACAGAGCAAAGGAGAGAGCACAGCTTCAGTCGTGACCTGCTGGTGCCTGGAGGGGCTGCTCCTCCTGTGCTTGCCCCGGCCTTGGAAGACGGCACTCTTAACTCTCCTAAGCCTTCTTCAAACCTCTGCAATGAGAAGTCCTAGAAACCTACTGGGGAGCTTTGGCTGCTGGGTGGGTGGTTCTGTGAGAGAAGTTGGGGAGGTGGGGTGAGAGGAAGTCTGTAAGTCCCACTGGAAGGCAGGCTGCCTTGGCTTGTTTCATTCACTGCTCCATCCCCAGTACTAAGGAGAACTCCACATAAAACAGGCACGCAATAAACAGTTGTTGAATGAGTGGATGGAAGAGCACTTTCACACATAATGCCACCAGGCTCTACAGAAAGTGTCTGTGCAGGTGGGTCAGGAAGAGGAAGGTTGGAGAGGGGGACCTGGACCACCCAGACCAGACACTGACAAAAACGTCAGTCACATTTTGTGAATGCCACTCTGTCAGGGACCAGTCCTGGAGGAGGAGGAGGACCAGCTGAGCAGGATCAAACTTGGGACCACTTATCTGGCTTCTGGATAACTTCTGCAGGGACAAGTGACAACTTTTGTTTTATCCCCCAAGGAGTGGGCTCAAAATAGAACAAAAATTAGTGTCTTGCATATGTGTACAGTAATGACTATAGTGGCAGTAAGTACAGATGTCACCATGAGTGGTAGGTCTAGGAGAGTACCAGCAAGTATTGTGAGTCTGAGTGTGTATGCCCGTGTGTGTGCCTGTGCACGCAGGGATGGCAGGGGCCATGGTTGCATGTTCAGGTGTCACCAGCATGCATGATGACAAGAGCCCTAGAGCTCCCAGGAACTGTCCCATGCCATGAGGCTTTTAGGTCCTGTCCCAGGACCACAGACAGAGCTGCAGAAGCCGACCAAGGGCCTCATAAGAGGCAAATATAATCCCCAAGCCCTCCCTTCTCCAGGCATGGGCCCCCCCAGTCTTCAACATGATCAGCCCAACTGGTGACCACTCATAGTGCAATGGAAAAGTTACTGTCTCTAAAAGTAAATAAGATCCTTGATGGAGGGAAAAGTCTTTCATTCTGCTTGAAGTTGATACATCTTGTGGGATTGCACATTGTCAGGAAGGTAAGATTAGGGAGGAAAGAAGAATTTAACATCATCAGTGAAAACCAGGAGGGAGATTCTTAAGCCTGACTCAGCAGAGAACCAGTGGATCCCCTTTAGATGAAGATGCCACATTGTAAACACACATGCACTCACAGCTCAATTCCCATACCAAGATATTCCTCTGGAAGATGGAGAGGAAGTTAGAGAGGGGCAGGGAGGAAGGTCAGATACAGGTATCCATAGGTACAGATATTGTCTGTGTTTGCAGGGAGGGCTATTGTATAGACTCGTGCAAGCAAGGCCTGGCCTGTATCTCCACTCCTGAAGTGCTGATTAGCAAGGTCATTGAGGGTTGCATGTTTTGCTGTACTGGCATCTTGGTGTAAATGTGAGGGAGCCTCTATGTACAGATGTGGATATGTGAATGTATTTCAGAGTCTTATGTGCAGACATCTCCTGTGGCTCTACAGGACCAGACCAGGGTGGACTCAGCACTCTGCCAGTGGGAAACGCTGAGGCCAAACAGCATTGCCATTAGGTTCCCCAAATCAAAAAAGCATTCAGATACAACAAGGTATCTGGTAGGATGGGAAGAAGGTACTTTCTACGTGCCCTGATCATTGTGCTGGCATTGAGTGGTGGACAAAACAAGAGAAGAACAAATACAATGCCCATGCCAGGCACTTAACTCAATGGCCAAATCTCTCTACCTATCCAAAGATAGGGCAGAGTGCAGAGATTAAATGAGGCTGTGGGAGAAAAAAGATCTGCGGGCCTTGGCTCCTCTCAAAGTGGGCAGCCAAGGGACACACCCTGAAGACTCAACAGGATTCAAAAGGGGCCAAGATTGGCCAGCAGAGCCCTCACCACAAGCAGTTTCTAGCAGAGCCAGAGGGAAGCTGAGTGAGGCCCTTAGCCCTTGGAAGGCCTGGCTGGCCTTGCTGATTCCTGACTTCTCACCGTCCCCACCTCCTGAGCCAGTGCTGGCCAGGCTGTTTCAGTGCTGTCACTCTGTCAACATAGGTGTGGTGAGAGAAAGGTTGAAACACCCTTCTCCAGTTCCCTCTGTGGGCCAAGTGGGAGAAACACAGTGTATGGGGAAAGGCAGTCAATGCCCAGTGTAGAGAGCTTCCAGAAACTCCAACTGGCTTGTCTGGGACAAAACAGCCTAAGATGGGGTCCTTGGGCTGCAGGTAGAACAAGCTAACCAGGTATCCAGAAGAGAGCACCATTCGCTCAGTGAGAACAAGGTGGGCAAGGCAGCCCTCACACAGAGCCTCTGGGTTGGGCCAGCTCAGAGCGGGGAGCGGCTGGGTGCAGCTCATCATTTTAACTGCTCTGTTGCCCAGCTGCAGCCTTGCTAGCCCATTCCTTCCTAGAGCTAGGGAGCGGCAGAAGCATGAAATATCCTGCTCCTGGAGTTAGCGAAACAGCTGCTGCAATGTCCCAGGGAGCAGGGAATGCAGGCCTCAGTGGAAAAAGTGACCACTACTCACAGCCCAGGGAAAGAAAGGAGGCTGGGTGGTTCCACCCTAGGGTGGAGGGGCTGGCCGGATATGGCTGTCTTGGCCAAGCTAAAAGAGACTGTTGGCCACCTAGAGAGACTCAGAAACTTGCAGAGGCCTTCAGCCCACTGTCCTGTTGGTGGAGGGCACCCTGTCATCCTGGGGAGGGCAGGCCAGCTCTGGGCAGGGACTTACAACTGCCCCCACCCCAAGACACCCTTGCTCCCACCAGTGGCCTCACTCTGGTCCTATTCTCCTCCATCCATCTTCTCTCCTCTGCTCCCACTGACCACCCAGGGACTCCCTACTCCAGTCCTAGAACTCTGACATTTGCCATCTGCCCCAGCACATCCACATCCCATAGGCTGTCCTCAACCCTCACCCTGGCTGGCTTCCCTGTTGCCTGGCTCGGTCTCCAGGGCCCATCGCGTAGAAGCGCTCTCCTTCCGGGGCCTCCCGACTCCCTCCCTGCCTTTCCAACTGTCCCTTCCCCTTCCCATCTTCTTTCCTGGCTGCTCTGCCTCTGCCAGCCCCTTAAACTCTCTTGTTCCCCAAGGTTTAGACCCCTGGTTCTCAGTTTTCTCCCTCCTCCCAGCATCCATCTTCCCAACTGGATTCCAAGGTCAAGCCGCACATCACTTCTACATGTCCTATAACTGGATATATAACAAATGCCTTTTAATGAGTGGACTAATTTGTGTGAAAAAAGCCTGGGGTAGGGGGCAAAGCAATGAAGTACAACAGAGTAGCAGGTGACCTGCCCAAGGCACCTAGCCTCTCTAGGTCTCCATTTTTTTTTTTTGAGGTAGAGTTTCGCTCTTGTTGACCAGGTAGGATTGCAATGGCACTATCTTGGCTCACTCCAACCTCTGCCTCCTGAGTTCAAGTGATTCTCCTGCCTCAGCTCCCAAGTAGCTGGGATTACAGGCACCTGCCACCTATAGGAAAGCCCAATATATATTTGTTGAATGAATACAATACATATTTGTTAAATTCATGGAATGAATGAATTCCATGAATAAATACAAGTTAATGGAACAGATGGGTGGACGGAGCATGAGTACCATGCACTTCTGTCACTAAACTGATGGCCATCATGTTCCGGATCTAAACTGCTCCACACAGTGAGAAATCATTTCAGCCCCATGTCTCAGGAAGCAGAGCTGATCTGATTTGCTTCTAAAAGCATTCACCAATATGTCCTATCAGCTCATGATCATGTCCTTCCTATAACCACTTTGAAGTCACTGAACTAGCTACACGGTGCCAGGAAGAACTTCGAAAAACACTCAGTCACTAATCCAAGCTTTACCAGTATCTTCTGGGAGCGCCTGGTCCATGTAACTTACTAGCATCAACAGACTGAGCATGTGATATTCTCTGCTCCTCATACCCTGTCCATGTGCAATGGGAAATACAACAAAAGCCAAGCCAAACTTACTCGTGGAGTCCTCTTCCTTGGAAATGTGAGGTTGAGATAGTTATTAGAAATGGATGCTTTGGCCAAGCTGAGGTCAGCATTTTCTCCATAGTTTTTGCGCCAAGAATCTGTTGGGAAATAAAAGTGCAACTGTCATTTGGATCCTGACTCCTGGAAGTGTGGCTATAACAAGGAGGTGTCATTGTAACCGGGTCTCTCTAAAATAAATCCCTTACCCCAAACTCAAGATGTAAATGACATACAGATCCACTTATGCGCACAGGGGCTGGGTGAGTGAAGTCACCCCTGTTTGGCCTCAAAGTCAAGGGGAACGTATTGGGCAGCCCCAAGAATAGACCAAACCAGTGTTAGAAGCAGCCAGACTCAGTGACAGGAACAGAGATGGCTCAAGGGGCCAAGCAACATCTCTGTGCAGGTGCTTACCCACGGGCCTCAGCGGGGTGCCCCGGAAGAGCTCGTAGAACTTGGAGAGGTACATGACCATGCTGAGCTTGTCAGGCTCCTGGGCAGATGCCATCTCTTTGCCCGTGGTCACTGGAGGGATCCCAAACTCTCGCTCGGCCACATCAAATGCGAGCTGGTTGTTCTCCACAGCATCGTCTTCATTCAAAGAGTCAAAGTTGCTAAAGAATCAAAACAAAGTAGAGAAATTCAGGGAGAGGAGGCAGAGGTGGGGTGCACTAAGCACCTCCAGCTGGTAAGGAGCACTGAGGGTGACACTCTGCCACATGTTGGCGGGCTGCAGGAGAGGAACAGTGACCCCCAACCCCTACCCCCAGTTCTCACCCCACCACCCCATTGGTCATGAAGTGACAAAATCAGACTCGGGCCATGATGACATAATTGCTGCCTGGGTTAAAACCATCAGAAAATGATTTAAACATCTTGGGAAAATTAATGAGCTATTTTACTTTTAAATATATCTTTTTTTTAATTACAAAAGTAAAATGGGCATCTTGTAAAAAAAAAAAAAAAAAAAAACAAGTTATATAGCATATAAAATTAAAAGGGATCCCAGGTGCAGTGGCTCAAGCCTGTAATCCCAGCACTTAGGGAGGCCAAGGCAGGCGGATCACCTGAGCTCAGGAGTTCAACACCAGGCTGGCCAACATGGCAAAACCCCGTTTCTACTAAAAATGCAAAAATTAGCTGGGTGTGGTGGCGGGCACCTGTAATCCCAGCTACTCGGGAGGCTGACACAGGATAATCACTTGAACCTAGGAGGCGGAGGTTGCCATGAGCTGAGATCGGGTCACTGCATTCCACCCTGGGCAACAGAGCAAGAGATTCCATCTTAAAAAAAAAAAAAGAGGCAAGTCCATCCTCTTAAGGCAGCCTTGCTGCCTAAGGTACCAAATGATAGCCCTTGGGTAGGTTCCCTTCCAGCCTATCGTGGTAGATTTGCACCTAGTCATGAAGTTATGCTGCTGCTGATTTACCTACAGATGCATCAAGCTTTGGCATCACAGTGTTTCCTCAAACATAACCTGATCTCCCCAATGCCCCTGCTGTTTTTTCTAATTTGCAGATAAAGAATCTAAAGCTCAGAGAAGGTAAGTGCCTTGCCCAAGGACACACAGCTTGTGGATCTGGATTTCAAACCTAATTCTGTAAAACCCTCAAACTAGTCCCTGGAATTAGGTCTGGCCCACAGCTCCTCTCTTGAGGGTGGAGCTCCAATGTATGAATGCTCAAATTTCTGAAGAGTGTGGTAGTTGGGGGGCGGGAAGAGGTCACTAAGAGTGCAATCACTAAGCCTGAGCCAATTTTTATTCTCACATATTAGGAACACAGATCAATCAGTGCAAAGGGAAAAGAACAAATGTAAGAAAAAATTCAAATCGAAACACAAAAAGAGAAATATTGAACCAAGTAACGGAGATTCTGCACGCAGCAGAATGGCCTTGGCATCCCTTGTCTCCAGGGGCCAGCCTGGGCCTCAGACTCACATGAGCTCAGGCCGGAAGCGGTGGATGATGGCACACAGGGCCAAGCCGCTGCGCCAGGATGTGGTCAGGTCAGTGACGTTGACATGCTGGTAGCCCTCTGTCTGCTGCTGGCACCAGGTTAGGAGCTTGCTTGGCCGGATATCTGACTCTGCAAGTAGGAGAACGCAGGCAGTGAGACTCTGCAGGAATCTCATACAGCCCAACCTGGATCCCCTCTCATTGCCACTGTGGCTGGTAACCAAGAAGAGTGGCCTCAAGGCAAGGGGCTAGGGCAGGGGGCCATTGGCATGGGTGCAGCCCCTTAAGGACTGCTGCTTGGGGGCTGGATCAAGAGTGTGGCGGGAGGGGAGAGGAAGCATGTTCCCTTCCAGCAAAGTCCCTGAGACCCACCGTGTCTGGGCCCTGCCAATAACATGCTCATCTAGTGGGGAAGACAGTCGCAGAGGGGATGACGATGACACAGGGCTGTGATGGAGGGAGAAGCAGGGGGCTGTGGGAGCACATAGCACATTTGCCTGAGTCTGCTCTGGGAGGGGAATTCTTAAGAAAAAAAAAATGTCACGGGGAGGTGCATTTCTTTAAGAGCATGTTCTTAAAGAGCATCTAGGAACCTACTGGACAAAAGAGGTCATTCCAGGAGAATAGAAAGGGCTGTGCGGTGGCAAAGAATCTAGAAAAACCTGCTATGTTTGTGCAACAGTAAAATGGTTGATTATAGTAAGTGGTTTATTACAGCAGTGGGCACATCATGGTGTGTGGACGGGATGGAGGAGTACAGCTGAGTCTGCCTAAGGAAGGAGAGGAGGCAAAGTCTGGACAGGCACAGGTAGCCAAAGAGGTCTCTAAGCAGGAGAGCATCCTGGGCCGAGCTGGGCACTGGGAGTTCCTCACTGAACCATCCCTTCTCCCTGAGTTGAGCACACCAGCCCTGTGCCCAGCGCACTGCTAGGCCAGGATGATCGGGAAAAGGGTGAAGTGCATTAAGCTCACTATCTACTTATGGGGACAGAACCTCCATGCTGGAAACAACAGGAAAATAAGAACAAGTCCCAGTGAAATAATCCCTGGTTCACGCTTATTGTGTGAAGCTCTCAATGCATACTAGCTCCTTTCATCCTCATAGTGATTCTGCAGGCAGGGGTTCTCTTGGTCTTACAGAGGAGGAAACTGGAGTACAAAGGGGAGAGGTGCCTGCCCACGGTCACACAGGTAAAGGGGCAGAGCCAGGCTGGCTGCAGAGCCTGTGTCACCATGGTTACTGAGCAGGCCTCCTCCCCTCAAAGCCCTCCCAGCCGCCTATCAGGGTCCCAGGAGAGCCGCTTACCCCTCCTAGAGAGGCTGACAGATCTCCTCACTGAGCCCAGTCTCTCGAGCGGATAGTGGTCCAGCTCCTTAGTGATGTACAAATGCTTCACCTATGAGCAAGAGAGACAGCATGCTTGCCCACAGTTTTCCCCCAAATCCTAGTCTCAGGGCCCCTAAACTTGACCCACCCCCAATTCAGTGCCTGCCACCATTTTCCTCTATTTCTGGGGCGCATGACCTTCAGCAAGGGAACCTGGCAACTTGAGTCATAGAGCAATGGGCCTCAATCCTCCACCCAAATACAGGCAAACGAAGTAGGAATGTGTATAGCTAATTTGTGTGTATGTAATTCGCTAATTTTAAAAGTTCACACAATTTTCTGTTCTGTTGACCAAAGAGGTTGGGAGTTTGGTGGCTCTAAATCGGTGGAAGCAGAAATGGACTCCAGGACCATGGGTGGTAGGCAGAGAGCATATTTGGCCAAGTAGATTACTTGAGACAGGTAAGATCAGCAATGTATACGCATAGTGACAAATTAATATATGCAAATATATGCACATATGCATATATCTCTCTCCCCATATATGGGTTTCAGTTCTGTCCTGTGGGCTAGAAAGAATGCTGACTCTACTGGGGAGAGGAACTGGCCCCACCATTAGACCAGCAGGCCTTGGTGGCCTCTGTCCAGGGAATGGGCTGAAATTTTATGCGACCCCCTCCCCACTGTCCAGTGCAGGTGATTCAGACAGGCCCCAGGGATGGACTTGCCTGATGGGGCCGGACACAGTTTGAGTTGAGGTTTGGGTACCGCGTCCCTGGGTCCAACGTGTACTGCTCAAAGTTCTTGTTGATGTTCTCCGGGGTTGTCTGAGGCAATAGCCGGTAGAGACTTTCCCTGGAGGGAGGTGGAGCCTGGAGGTCAGGGGTCACTTTCGCCACCTCAGGCCTTGTCCCCACCATCCCCTTCTTCCCCCTTCCTCTGGCTCAAGGGCTTCCTGGATATGTTTGTCTAATCCTTCCCTGAAATGCCTGACATTCCTGGTTCTTGAGATCTGCAAAGTGGGGAGAAGGTCAAAGGGGCCAAGAGGAAAGGGGCGCCTGGGTGACGGGGATGCCAGGCTTCTCCCCCTGGGGAAGAGGGGAGGGATGCAGGGCTGGCAGCACAGCGGCCTGTGGTTTTGCCATAACTATGCTCAGCCACACTGCCTCCTGCGGCCTGCTCCCCATGGCCACAGGCTTCCACACCCAAGACTGTCAGAGGCCTGTTGCCACCCACCAGCCCTGACCTCCCTGCGTCCACCAGCTGTCACAGCCACGTGGCCGGCAGCAGGGGTCTGGGAGAAAGCCCAGGATCTCAGCAGTGGGAGAGGCCTGGAAAACCAGAGAATCCAACCCCCAGGACAGGAGACTCAGCACTGCCCTGGAAGATTCCCTTAAATAAACTCTCTGGCTCTTGGGTGAATGAGCAATGTGAGAGGGCCCCAGCTACAGGGCCAGCCAGGATGAAGATTTTTCTGTGGTATCCAGGGCTCAAGGTCCTGGCCCCCAGAGAAAGTCACTGTAAGAGTAAGATCATGATGAAGAAAGCATCCTTGGGGATGCTGATGATCCAGTCAGGCCACATATGGGAAGGCAGTATAGAGGAGGCAGAGGCTCTAGGTATATCCAGCAGTCACCCGAGGGGTGATCTTTCCCCCTTTCCTGCCAGAGTGGCCCTGCCCCCCAGTTAGGAGCCCTGCTGTCAAAGCTCACCTTTCAGCCAGCAGCTCCAGGGGAGGGGTGCCCTGGTTCCAGTTTTTCACCATCCATGCTGTGTCAAAGGCTGCCAGGAAGCCACGGGCACAGCCTGTACCCATGGGCCAAAATGGCTGCAAAAGAAAACATGCAAAATTCCGGTTGATTCTGATGACTCCCAACCTATGATCTCATTGTACCCAGAACACACTGATTACCAGGACTGTGCAGGGCACTGGAGGGACAGAGAGGTGACAGAGCAGGGACCCTGCTACCTACGAGGATTCACCACAAGCTCAAATAACAGTAGCAGAGAGTCAAATGTAAAGAGTGCTATGATGCAAGCATAACAAAACTGCTTTAGGTCTCAGAAAAGGCAAGACAAATTCCCATCCTGGGAGACGGAGATGGAAATCAGCATAAGCTTCTTAAGAGTGCATTGGCTGGGCACAGTGGCTCATGCCTATAAACCTAGCACTTTGGGAGGCCGAGGTGGGTGGATCACCTGAGGTCAGGAGTTCGAGACCAGCCTGGCCAATATAGTGAAACCCTGTCTCTACTAAAAAATACAAAACATAAGCTGGGCTTGGTGGCAGGTGCCTGTAATCCCAGCTACTAGGGAGGGTGAGACAGGAGAATTGCTTGAACTTGGGAGGAGGAGGTTGCAGTGAGCCAAGATTGCGCCATTGCACTCCAGCCCAGGCAACAGTGTGAGACTCCATCCCAAAAAATAATTAAATAAATAAAAAGAGTTGCATTAAGCTGATCTTAACAAATGGATGGGATTCTTATCCTGATCTACTTGAGAATGGTGTGGGCAAAGGCACGGTAGTTTGAAAATGCTGGCTCCTGATGGAAGAACAGCCATCTGTTGCAGGTATGACATAAAGCACGGGAAGAAGGTAGGGAGAAACCAAGCTGGGAAAGGAGCTAATTATATACACACAAATTAGCTACAAATCCTGCTACACCAGAAGCAGGAAGGCTACTGAGGACTCAAGTCACAGCTCTTAGGTTCGAGTCCATGCACAATGGTGCCCAAGGACCCAGTCAACCAAACTAAGTGCTGACTAATCTGCTCCATGAGCACCCAAAGCATGGTTCGGAATTGGACTCTTAACTTGGAAAAAATGCATATCAGTGCTTACACTAAAGAGAAAAATTTCTCCCTTCTGAACACAGACATTTAATCTAACGGTCCTTGCACCCTTGCAGATTTTCTGGGAAGAATTTTCAGCAGGGAAGCTATGAATGGAAAGGAGACTTTGGGGACCATGCACCTCTCCTGCACCCTATGTGATCTCAAAAACCATAAAGGGCCACTCATACGCTCTGAGTAGGACAGCCCATGTAGCCCAGGCCAGGGCTGCCTGATGTTGTACTTCATCAAAGAAGTCAGTGCAAAAGAGCCAGGAGAGAGAAGAGAAAGCTCTCCTAACTACACAGAACAGGCTCCGCTGAAGGCAGCAACAGGACAGGCTCTAGGGCCGGGACAGGCTTGGCAGAGTCCTGCCAACTGGCTGGGAGCCTGTCCTCTCCCCACTGCAAAACAGCAGATAGTGCCTGCCAGGATATTAATGTGGGATCTGTCTCGCAGAGGAATGTGGGGGCTCCAAGCACAGGCGGTACCTCAAGCAAGCTGTCACCCACGAGGGCCACGAGCAGCTGGTGCGCCTGCCGCTCCCGCACCAGGGCCGCGTTCTCTGAGGCATACATGGAGGTGAAGTCAAACATGGCCACGTCGGGCTGCCCATAGTGGTTCATGGCAAAGTCTAAGGATGGCAGCTGGTAGTTGGTGGCAAAGTCTGCAGCTTCCCGGGCATAGGAGAGCAGGTTGTCTTGGTTCACGTTCTCCGCACACAGCAGCATCTCTGTGTCGATGTAGTCCTGGAGAAGATCAAAACATGGTGCAGCAACCAGCAACCGCCCCTCTAAAGGGGACAGCCTTCAGACCCACTTCCTGGCAAAAAAAGGACTTGGAATGGGTCTACACAGTGAGGCGAATCAAAACAGAAATAGAAAAATCCGGGTCAAGAGAATAAAGAGGAAATAAATCAGCCAGCTGTGAGGGTTAACCTGGTTATGATTAAGCATCAAATTTGGCTTTGAGCTTCCTGGCACCCAAGGCAAAAGGGAAATGTGATATGCCACAGAGCTTTCCTTATCAGAAAGAAGGAAGCATAGAAATTCCTCAGGGCAGGCAATTTTTTCCTGGCATTAAATTCTAAAAGATCTGTCTCACGTAGGAATTTCAACAGGGTATGTTGAGAGTTGTAATGAACAGTACACTTGATAATGGTCTTGGAGCAAACAACAAGCCCATTTCACAGCGCTGGTTCTCACGAGAACTTTCAGTACAATTACGAGGCAAAGGAACCATCAGAAAGTGTGGTTTTATAATAAATTCAGCTAAGCTGATGTGATCAGATATGCCATGGTTAGCGGTCAAACAAGACTGGAAAAGAAAATGGGTACCCTCTCATGCTTTCTCTCCAGAATCAGTCACCCCTTTACTGGATGGGCTGAGGGTTCCCCAGAGCTTGACTTTGCTTTTGGTGCTAATTGTTATGCTTCTCTAATCAGGAGTGCAGAGCCCTGAGCTGCGAGGACTGGAAATCCATCCCGGAGGGATGGGTACCTCATGCAGGAGAGTGAGGACCCAGCAATGGGAATACACTAGGCTAGAATACACGTCAGGATCGAAGACAGCCGGCTAGGTTAGTGTATTCCCCGAGTCCAGGCTGCTCACCGTGTGGCTAAAGAAACTAAAAGACCACCCTTCTCAAAGGTGACACAAAAAGTACAGACACCTGGAGAGGGAGGGGACCAGTGTGAAACACAAACATGGGCTTAAGGGTCAGGGAGAGTGACAGGTCAAAGTCTACTTCTGCTGTTTACTGACTAAATCTGGGCAAGTTATTTAACTTTTCAGAGTCTCCACTCTCTCTTTGTAAAAAGGGAGTATCAAACCCTACATCACAGAGCCATGTAAGAGGATGGAATGAGTGTACACATGAGATCCCTAGCCCCATGTGGGAAGAGCTCGACGAATGGGAATTCCTGTCCCCTGCAATTCATGCTGGCCCCAGATGGCTTATGATGAAGTGTATGATGAAGTGGGCCTGGACCCAGCCAAGGCCTCCTCAATTACAAAGGTCTTGACAGTCACAGAGCACTGGATCTACAGCCAGAGTGACCCCTGTCTCAATTTTCTGAGTAGCCATGATTTCAAATATCCTGTTCTGGAAACTCATATTTCCACATCCAGACCACACCCCCCAAATTGCATCTAGCACTGGTCCAAGAGCTCTTTGTCAGGTCCCGGTGTCTGGGTTGAAATTCCTGTTATTTGGTTCCTTTCTGATCCCTGTTACTATAGTCACATGATCACTTCTCTCTCTGAAAGCGTGGAGGTGAGATGGGGGAAGACAGAAGGGAAAGGTCTCAAACACCCCTGCTCAAAACATGCCCCAAGCATCCCTAAGAGGGAGTGGATGACACTACACAATGAAGACGGTGCCTGGCATGGGTACCTCATGCAGGAGAGTGAGGACCCAGCAATGGGAATACACTAGGCTAGAGCTGGCTGGAAGACTACTGGCCTGGGGCTGCTGGAAGGTCCCAAATGAGTGGGGGGATAGAAGAAGGAGTGTAGAATCAGATGAGGACAAGGACAGGAGGACAGAATCCCAGCTCACATGTGTGTAGGCCAGCAGAGGCAGGGGCCCAGGGAAGCCCTGGGATGGGACATCCTCCTTGTAGGGGAAGAGAAAGATGGACACAGCTCAGAACCCAGAGGCATGGCTGCTTGAAGAGAAACTTGACTCTTCCTTCAGTAGCCATGGAAAGAAGCCCAGAGATCAGCTGGAATCAATGGGGAAGCAGGAAAACCTCTCGTCCAGAGGCTAGTCAGTCATTCAACAAACATTTACTCGACACCTTCCATGTGGCTGTAGGGAGATGCGGATACATGCAGGGAGAGGAAAACAGAAAACTTGTCATTTCCCCAGGGAGCAAGAGAAGAATGTAAATTTAAGTGGCTCAGGGAAGATGGGTCAGGAACTTGGCTGACACCTCGAGGCTCAGGCTATAGCTCTTGTTCCAATCAAGTGTCCAGCCTGTGGCCTCCAATTTCCTTCCCATCTTGTACCTTGAAGCTCCTCAGCACCAGCTCAGGAGCTGCTCCCAGGGGTCTCTGAAGGAGAAAGAAGAGCCTTGGTGAAGACAAGCATGGGCCTAGGGGGGCTTTGCCAACTGCCAGGGAAGCAAGTTGCCATGAGCAATGTGTCGCTGCCTGGGCAAACACCCTGGGATGACCTGAGGGTGACCTTAGCATCCCAGGAGGCCAGGGTGCTCTGCCAGCACATCAAAAAACCCGTCAAACTTTGCCTGCCTGCCCAGCCCCTCTTCTGCAAAGGTGCCCACTGCCCCTACACCCCCGCATACCACAGCAGTCCTTCTCTATCTGACACAGTTTCAGATTAAGGCGGCAACTTCAGGAGGGATGCCTGTGAGGCAGAGGGAAGAAGGGGCCGCCACCACTCCCAGACTGACAGCCAGCAGTGGGACACTGCAAAGCCCATTGCCCACCCATCTGCTGGCGTGCTCAGCCCACTTCGCCAAGCCCACATTCACAGCCTCCGTCCATAACTCAGGCTCTCAGCAAAGACCTGAGGAAGTGGAGGAGGCCCTCGGGACAGCTGGGTTACTAACGCCTCCCGGCCAGCTGCCAGCACACACAGGAGAGAAGATAGGTGCATTCTTCTCTGACAAGCAGCGATGGATGGCCTCCGTGCTGCCTGGGCTCCAGGCGGACACCCAGACAGCAGGCTGACCTTGGGCTGCGCGATCCTTGTCTTGAGGTGGCAGCAGCAGGGGTGACAGCAGCAGCAACAACTGCTGGAGAGTAAAGGGGCTCTGGAAGGGCTGCACACCTGACCAAAGAAGCTTCCAGTCAGGGGCCACTGCTCCATGTGTTTCTTCCTTCCAACACTGCCCTGTGTTTAAGCATGAAGTTGCAAAGCCACGAAGCAGAGGCCAGAGGCCAGCAGGTCAAAAAAGCCAGTATGCAAAGAAGACTGAGAAGTTACAGAGGGAATCTAGGAACCCACCATTGGCCAGGCACTGTGCCAGGCGCTTGGTATGTATCTTCTATTTGCTCCTTCCAAGAAACCTTTCAGGCAGAAACTATCATTCCTCTTTTGTAGATGAGAAGACTGAGGTTCAGAAGGATGAACAGTTTGCCCACAGTCTGGAGTTGGTATGTGGCAGAGTCAAGATGCAGATGGAGTCTTTTTGACTGCATGAATGGTGACCCTTCCCCTACACTGTGACAAGGGTCCACAGTGTGAAATTCACAAGTCAAAGCATGTCTATGTCTCATTAGGACAAGGAGCTCCCATCTGCCTACAAATGACATGTGGCCTCCCAGAGAGGAGGCAAGGCTGGATGAGACTTGGGAAGGAAAAGACTCAGTCAGTCCACATTAACACCTAGTAAAGGTCTCAAAGCAGCACACGCCCCTCTGCAGAAAATTCTCTGTGCATATTGGCAGGGCTCCTTTATCCACCACTCACGTAACACCAAGAGAAAGAAGGGTGTGAGTGGGTGGCACCTTCCCCCCTCTTCCCCTCGCTCAGTTTCTGGCAGGACTACATCTGCTTTCACACCTGCTGATGCCACCAGCCCAGCTGGCAAAGTCGGGAAATCACAGCCAAGAGGTACATACATTAATGATGACACCTTTGTCCAGCAGGCTCTGCTTCTTGGCTGTCATGACAAAATAGTGGGTGCAATCCTTGTAGTAAACAATGTTCTCAAGATCTATGCCTGAAACGAGAAGCATTCACAGACTCAGTGGTACTTTCTCAGCACCAACTGTGCACCCGAAACCATTATTGGTCTTGTTATTTATCTGCAGAATATTCATATTAGACCAGTTTTTAAGGTATACAAGGCTGGAAAGGATAAAACAGAGTATTAGAATCTACCCAAGTCATAGTAGCTTCTATAGTTCCATTGAGGCATTATTCCTGTTAAAACTCACAATGGGGCCAGGTGTGGTGGCTCACATCTGTAATCCCAGCACTTTGGGAGGCCGAGGAGGGTGGATCACCTGAGGTCAGGAGTTCAAGACCAGCCTGGCCAACCTGGTAAACCTCATCTCTACTAAAAGTACAAAAATTAGCTGGGCATGGTGGCAGGCACCTGTAATCCCAGCTATTCAGGAGGCTAAGGCAGGAGAATCACTTGAATCCAGGAGGCGGAGGTTGCTGTGAGGCGAGATCGCACCATTGCACTCCAGCCCAGGCAACAGAGCAAGATGCTGTCTCAAAAAAAACGCAAACAATAAACCCAAAAAATAACACACAAAAAACTCACAACATCTGTAGGATGTAGGAGTTGTGGGCCGGTATTTATAAGTTCGAGTAATTGTGCAGAAAAGCCAAGTGCTGGCCATGGCCACGGAAGCTGTCCACTGTGCCCTCTGTGTGGCCACAGCTGCATAGAGCTGAGGGAATTCTCCAATGACTATGCCAAGGAGTATTTCTACATTTCCCTGCTTATATGTGAAAACCCAAGTGCAGTGGTGGAAACAACTCAGGTGAGAAGGCTGGGCTGTATCTTACTGCGCTTTCCACCAATCACAGACATTTTACACACTAAGCTCCTGCATTTCAAACCATGCTGTGCAATGAGAGCTTAGCTCCGTGGTTCTCAAAGGGAGGTCCCCGGCCAACAGCATCAGCATCACCTGAGAACATATTAGAAATTAGAAACGCAAATTATCAGGTTCCTTCTCCAGACCTACTGAATCAGAAACTCTGGAAATAGGGCCAGCAGGCTGTGTTTTAACAAGCTCTAGTGATGCCAATTCACACTCAAGTTTGAGGCTGACTGGCTTATTTGAAGGGAGAGAAAGGAGTAGACACATGGCGACATATCAGCATTTAACACAAGGCGTGCTGGGTAACCATAGGAACACCTTCATTACAGTGAAATAGGAAACAGCCATCAACGCCAAGGGCCCCTGGGAGAATCACGAAGTTCACAGCTGTCACTGTGTGAGGGCACTGTTGTGAAACAACGGCCGAATGTGAAAACCACGGCAGAGTTTAAAGGAAGTTCACCGAAACGTGGAAAAGCACACTCCATGTCCTGCTCTCATTTATTTTTAGTGGCTTAAGTATTTATTTTCTTGATTTTTTTAGGGAAAGGGAGGGTTGAAGTATTCTCAAATCATTCCAAAGGACATCACAGGCTAGCAGGAAATAGTCAAGCTTTTAATGAAATAATGCAACGGGGGTGAAACTCGGAGGGCTGTGCAGTGGGCGCACACCCTCGTGGCCAGTGAGAGGCACAATCTCGCTCAATAACTAATGCCATTCCTAGAAAATCACCTTGGCTGAGTGCAGTGGCTCACACCTATAATCCCAGCACTTTGGGAGGCTGAGGCAGGGTGGATAACCTGAGGTCAGGAGTTCAAGACCAAACTGACCAACATGGAGAAACCCAGTCTATGCTAAAAATATAGTGGTGGCGCATGCCTGTAATCCCAGCTACTTGGCAGGCTGAGGCAGTAGAATTGCTTGAATCCAGTAGGTGGAGGTGGTGGTAAGCTGAGATTGTGCCATTGCACTCCAGCCTGGGGACAAGAGCAAAACTGTCTCGAAAACAACAAAAAAAAAGATCTTAAAGAAATAGTTTAACAAAAGCAGTGTCATCTGTAACAGTAAATAACTGGAAGTCCTAAATTAGAGGTCTGCAAGTATTTTTGTGTGTGTGTGACCAACCAGCTGGGAAGTATTTCTGGCCTGTGGGTCATATGGTCTCTTTCACGTCCTCTCACGGTGGAAGCAGCCATGGAGAGTAATGTAAAGAAATGGGCATGGTTGGATGACAATCAGCCTTTATTGATGGATACTGAAATTTGTCACAAAATATTCTTTTGATGGTTTTCTTCAGCCTCTATATAAAACCATTCTTAGCTCAATGGCAATATGGAACCATGTGGCCAGTCATAGTTTGCTAATCCCTGGTTTCAGTGCTCAGGCAATGACGATACCTCAATTTGATAAGATATTCCACAGTCCCTAAAAGTGACCACCAGGAGGACGATGTGTGGAACAGGACGCTGAATGAGAAAAGCTGAATAAAGAGTGTGGATACCGTGATTCACGCTACAGTCATGTATAACAAGCAAGCACGCCTGTGGAAAATTACAGAAACGGAGTAGGTGAGTCTGACGACTATTCCCATGTGAGGTGATTGGATTGGAAATGATTTACTGTCCATATAAAGATTTGATTTAATGTTGTTACACTGCTTTTCAAGGAGAAATACGTGTTTTTAATCAGGTTAAAAAGAAAGGAAAAATATGTGAAATGAACTGGAGACAGACGACTCACCCCCTTTCCCCTCACCCTGTTTTTTTTCTGTACTGTCTCTGTTACCACTTGATGTGTTACTGATTTATTTGTGTATTGACAGTCTATTCCCATAGAATATAAGCCCAGGAGGGAGGGATTTTGTTTTGCACACTGCTCATTCTCAAGCTCTAGAACAGCATCTGGCACATAGTAGGCATTCAATCAATATCAGTTGAGTGAATGAATCAATATCTCCTATCCTCTAGGCCCATGGTGGGGTGACAACTGGTGCCAGTACAGGTCACATTCCTGGGCATACCCAGATGTCCCACAGCACGAAAGCACCTGGGCCCCTTTAGGAACCGTCCATAGGTTACCGGCTCCCTCCTCAGCATTCCCTGAATATCATGCTGACCTCAGGTAACAGTGCCGGCCACCTGCCTTAGGATGGTTTATGCAGAGATCCCTTAATGGACAGGGAACCACTGTGAGAGGTATCATGTCAACCTCCACTTTGTACTGCACAACACTGAGAATTGGCATATAATGAGCACTCGGTCAATGTCCGCTAGCTTCTTTCATGTACAACTTCTAGAACAGTCCTTCAAGAATCTCTCTTGTCCCAGAAGGAGTCCTGTCCATTGTTATCACTATCCTAGGGGAATCTCTGCTTCCACCCAATCAGAGTGAGTCCCTCCAGGCCCAAGAGCCCAGAAAGCCAGCACATGCCTCTGCACACTTTAGAAGCTGAGACGTTGGCCTGGTTGGGAGATAGGTGAAGGTCCCACCTGTTTCTTCTTTAAGGTCCTGAAAAAATTTCTGATTGAAGATGAAAGCCACACCGCTAATCTCTTCCACCTTGGCCTCCGCTGTGCTGTTTCTGTTTATGAAGTTGGCGGTGATGGCAATCGCCAGCTTCCCACGGAATTCTTTTCTTCTGAACCCTGCATGAGGAGAAGGGAAAAAGCGGGTCTATCTTTTGGATTTGGTGTGAAAACCGGAAATGGTTGTTGGGAGAGCTGTTCCCAGATGCCTCCCAGGCCCTTGAAACCAGGATTCTGGATCTCTAGAGGACAGGAGCAAGCAGAAACGCCAAGGTTTGCTCCCAAAGCCTTTAAAAGTCAGTGGGACATTGTCCTTTTCTAAAATCTATAGGACCTGATTAGGCTTCAACAAACAAAAGGCCACAGCGATCCTTCCCAACAGGGTGCACACTTTTAAGGACGTGTCAAGCACTGTTGCTAGACACACTCATGAGAGACCCACATGCACTTTGAATTTATAGGATTAAAACTACTGTCTTAGCACGTCTCATGGTTCCACCCCTTGCCCTGCCCCAACCCCCTTGAAAAGTAGATTACATTGAATTCCTGCAGGACAGGGATTCTACCAGATCTTCTTTGCATCTCCAATTTTCTGGGTTGTATTACGTCCCCGGCAACACACACACATACACGCATTCATGTGCTGAAGTCCTAACTCCAGTACCTCAGTATGTGAACCGATTGGAAATAGCATCATTGCAGGTGTCATTAGCTAAGATGAGGTCACACTGGAGTAGGGTGGGACACTCCTTACTCCAATATGACTGGTGTCCTTTGAAGAGGGGAAAATGGTGCGCCAGTTCCTAGTAACTGGCACCTAGTACATCTGCAATGCATGTATAAATGAATAGATGGAATTCTAACTCTCATTTTTTTTGTTTTTGAGAGAGGGTCTCACTCTGTTGCCCAGGCTGGAGTGCAGTGGTGCCAATCATGGCTCACTGCAGCCTCAACCTCCCAGGCTCAAGCGATCCTCCCTCCCACATCGGCCGGCAAGTAGCCGGGACAACAGGCATGTGCCACCATGCTGGCTTATTTATTTTAACTGTTTTTGGAGACAGGGTTTCATCATGTTACCCAGGCTTAGCGCTCTAATTCCTGTTTTCCATGATTTACATTAAAATCGCTCTTGAATGGTAGTGCCATGGAGGACCCCAGCAGGTGGTATAGGGCAAACACACCGATAGCAATAACTGAAGCACGACTTTAGAATGACTCTGTATGGCTGATGCCCCTGAATGTGTGTTCTGAGCTAGGGAATCCAAGAGTGGCCAACCCTGAGACTTGTTCCTTGTCTATGAGTTCCTGGCCCTTCCTGTGGATCGAGGCCCTGAGTTTTGGGTTGAATGAAGCTTGCCAGGTGGAGGCGGTTACGTGAAAATGCTGTATATACCGCATGCTGTTTGCAAGAAGTTGTGGTTTTCCTGCCCAGGCTGCCACCACCGGGCTATGAGGTTGTGCTGTACAGCCACTGGACCAAATTACTTATTTCTGTAGGTAAGGCGGGTCTCTTGTCCAGCCCACTGCCACTGGACTCTCCCCTGTGAGTCCCTAATAAAACCCATGTCTCCTTTGCTGGCTCTGGGTCTCTTCTTTGGCCTCTGGAACTTGGTACCTTCCCTATTGAGGTTAACAGGGGTTCTGCACAACAGATGGTCACTTTCCAAGAGCGTGTCTCCCTCCTAGTCCCCCATCTTGCTGGCATCTGATCTTTCCTGAGTGCCCCTTCCCCAGGCATGCTGTGTACTTTGTGTAATGCCAGGTGCCTGCCATGCAGGTGCAGACCTCCACACATCACCTTTCCTCGGCCAGCTTCGGGAAGGCCCTGCACATCTGCTCACCATGTACTCCAGCCTCACGCTGATTCTCAACCATCTCTGTCAAAAATCCCTGTTAGTGACAACCTTGGGTTTCTATTCAATAGCCCTCCTCTAAGTTGTCCTTCATTAGACTTTTGTCAAAAGGGTCAGAAATGGCCATTATTCTCATCTAGCATTTCTTAGCTGGGGGTGATTTTGTTCCCAGGGGCCACTTGATGAAGTGTGGAGACATTTGGTTGTCATACCCGGGGGTGCTCCCAGTGTCTGCGGGGGCAAAGGCCAGGGATGCTGCTAAACACCCTACAATGCACAGGGCGGTCTCTGCGACAAAGAACGGTGTGGCCCAGACATCAGCAGTGTTGATACTGAGAAGCCTAGTTTATGCATTTGGGCTTGAGTAGCTCAAATGGCTCCATCACTTCCCACCCTTCTTTCTGTATTCATGAAATGCCCAACTGTACCCAAGCTGACAATGGGTCCTGGATACTTAAATACTCTTTTTTTTTTTTTTTTTGAGCCAGAGTTTCACTCTGTTGCCAGGCTACTGGAGTGCAGTGGCACGATCTCGGCTCACTGCAACCTCTGCCTCCCAGTTTCAAATGATTTTCCTACCTCAGCCTCCCAAGTAGCTGGAACTATAGGTGCCCACCACCACGTCTAGCTAATTTTTATTTATTTATTTATTTATTTATTTATTTATTTATTTATTTATTTATTGAGACAGGGTTTCACCATGTTGGCCAGGATGGTCTCGATCTCTTGACCTCGTGATCCGCCTGCCTCAGCCTCCCAAAGTGCTGGGATTACAGGCATGTGCCACTGCACCTGGCCTCAAATATTCTAACTTACACTTTTACCAAGCGTGTAAATTCCAACAATACTACATCCATGTTGGCAGCTTAAGCATTCCCCATCAGAGGTTGATGACCAATGGCTGGGGATGTGGGTATGGAAGGGGAAAGGAGAGTGGTGAACAGCTCTGGTTATGTGGCAGATGGGAAAGTCCTAAGCCAGGCGGCCCACTGAGTTTTCTAATCAGCCCTGTTTCAGGGAGCATGTGCCATTCTCAGAGTGATGTGTCTTCTCAGTCAGGCATCTGCAGCCTGTGGCTCTTGAGGGGGTAAGCTCAAAAAGCAGAACTGCCCTAATCTAAGAGATGCCACTTGGGGCCACGCTGTTTACAACCCATGGTCTCAAATTAGCATGGTTAGTATCAATGAGTACAGCCTGTGGATGGATCAGTCTTGGTGTTGGAGTGGAGGGGACAGAAGCATTGCCTGACAATGGTGTTTTTCTCACAACCTGACAGGATCTTACCCCATGAAAGATACTATGCTTCAGCTTTAGAACTCAGAGAAGTGTGGCTTTATACCTTGACAGTTTGGCAAGACGTACCTGCCTGCCCAACAGTGGGTGTGCTTAAAAGTTACAAAAAGAGGTGAGTTCTTCCTTCAAGTAAAAGTAATAATACACTTGAAAGTAAGTGAATACTATTAATAGCATAGAAATGTTTATCTTAGCTAAAGTAAGTATGAAAGTGCTCAGCACCGGCCATGCGTGGTGGCTCACACATGTAATTCCAGCACTTTGGGAGGCCGAGGCAAGCAGATCACGAGGTCAAGAGATCAAGACCATCCTGGCCAACATGGTGAAACCCCATCTCTACTAAAAATTCAAAAATTAGCTGGGCACGGTGGTGCGTGCCTGTAATCCCAGCTACTCGGAAGGCTGAGGTGGGAAAACTGCTTGAACCCAGGAGGTGGAAGTTGCAGTGAGCCGAGATCGCGCCACTGCACTCCAGCCTGGGCAACAGAGCAAGACTTCATCTCAAAAGAAAAGGAAAGTGCTCGGCACCATGGCTGGCACATTAGGAGGCACTCAACAATGGATGTTGATTTTTCCCCCATGGCACTTTTTATAAAATATTTTCACATACTAGTCCTTTCCCAGCCCACCTAACAACACTTTGAGAGGGTCCTGCAACCCACTGCTTACAGTTGAGAAAACCGAGGTTCGGACGGAGTGAGATGGATGCCGCCAAGCACCCACCGCACGGGAGGAGGGCTGCTCTACCGCAAGGCGGACCGGACTGCCTGCCCTCCTATCAAGACCTCCGTCCAGCTCTGGCACCTGCATCTTACCCACTTTCTCCAGCTCTTCCCCAATGCACCCTCTCCCATTCCCACCCCCGCATTCCCACTCCAAGAAGAGTCTTCACCTTCCAGGGTGTTCCTGCGGCCGTCAGCACCAATGATGACGTCAAACTCAAACTCTGACAGACAGTGGTCTGCAGGGAGAAATTCTGCCCGCCAGCCAATCTCTACCAGGACAGAGAAATGACATGAGTTAGCAGAGGGTGGTGGGAAGGGAATGACTATACCCGCTGTGTGGTGGCTGTGAGAAATGGACAGTGCAGCCAGGTCTGTGCATCCCAGAGCGAGCCTCCAGGGGAAAGGCCTAGAGCAGTCCAGATTCATTCTCTAATCTGGTTTCCTCCGACTTGAGTGTCAGTTCAATCCAGGATGAAGTAAACCAGCAATACCAAATCCATGCCGGGTTTTGCTGGCCTCTGCTAGGAGTCTAGCCTCCAAGGTCCATAAACTACTCTCATTTGCAGGTTATTTTTCTCCAGAGTCCATCACCTTCTCTTCACACTCTCCCATATTCTTCAGTGCCTCTCATTGCTAAACAGACCCAAAAAGATGTGTAGGGTATAAGGAAACCAGTTTAATTTCTATTTCATGCTCAAAATGTTCTGTTGTATAGTATACTGTCTTTTATTTTTAAAAATTCAGGTGAAGCCTGAATAATTAAGATTTAATGTCGCTAGAGGTCTGGAAAAGGTTAAGAGTACACAGTTCCTGAGTGCCAAAGAGTGAATGCTGTCCTACTACAAAAGCTAAAGTCTCCCCCAAATCCTCAAATATTCTGGACAGAGGACCGGAGAAATGGAAATGTACCCTAGGCGAGAAACTGCAAGGTCTCTGACACTAAGCTGGTCCCAAACTCAAAGCCCTTCCCAGGCAGTAGATGACTTTGATAATAAGAGAGATGCACAGGCATCGTGAACAAACTCTTTGACCCTGGTGTGTGTAAGGGACAAGAATTTAAACAAACATACTAAAGGGAAAAAGAGAAACATTAAGATCTGCCTATACAGGCGAATATCATAGTTTATAAACGACACCTCAATATGGTTAAAAGTGTTATATACCAAATAACATCTTGGACCTTATTTCACAGTTGCTCTAGATTCGCTTTGCTGGATTTTAAAATGTGCCATGGGTACAAGTGCATCCACATATCCATGTGTGAAATACACACACAGCTTGTAGAACACGTGAATGAACTTCACCAAACAACCAAATCTATGTCTTCTGTCCTACTTATTGATTAGGTTTACTTTACCAAAGTAGCACCCCCTTGGGACAGGGTAACCAAATTATAGGTTTAATGGCTTAATCATAAATCCCCTTGGAGCCAAAGAGCAAAGCTAAAGTCATAGCAATGGTCAAAAACAGCAAAATACCGTTCACTGGAGTTATGCCAGCCAGCTCCCAATAAGAATAACTCTTACAGAAACAGCCTCTGCAAGCAGCAAATGGGATTTCTATTTTGTAGTATCTGCTTTCTAGGCAGAAAAGGATAATTATACTGTACTTTGATTTTCTTGATCTTCAGGAGGCTCTAGAACCTTCACAAACTCCACATTCACATGGATTTCAACTCCCAGCATCAGGGCCACCTTGAAGAGAATGAGCTGTAGTTGGCGAATACCTGTTGGGCAGGAAGGAGAGAGGAACTGTCACAGCAACGCCTGAACACCACCTCTATGCAGAATGCCACATAGTCACTGCTGCTCGGTGACCTTTGAGCACAGCAGTATACCATTATGGAGTCGGATTATGCACCAAGCACTCTATATTTTCTCACCTTACTATTACAGTAAGAGTAAGAGTAAGGTGGAACCATTATGATCCTTATTCCGTAGATGAGAAATTGAGGCTCAACAAGGTTAAGTGACTTGCTCAGGCAACACGGAGCAAAACTAGAATGTAGACCCACATCTGTTCTCTTTCTAGACCCTGTTCTAACTCTAGATGATGCGATAACAAGGGAGGCTCTGTCTTTCCAGCCTCCTTCCCCAGCTGGGCTCTGGGTTTGATGAGATGAAGATGGAAAGAGGAGTAAGCAAAGAGAGAGTAAAGGGCCTTAGTGAAGTCTGTGATCCGTGACTCATTATATGGGGCCCGTGCCTCAGCTCTTAAACATGCAGTGGTGAGGACTGGTTAGGAAATTCTCACCACAAAGCGTCATGGTTTCCCATCTCCCACCCACCCTTCAAAACTCCCTCAGTGAGTGGAATCTCATTTCCCTGTTTTATCTCCTGCCATTCGGCACAAATAGATATGCCTCCAAATAATTTTCTGCAGAGTGAGAAGTTTTAAACTCTCTGTGGGCCCTTCTGTATTTGATGGGCTGGACTCATTTAGCATTTATTAAGCATCTATACTATGCCAGGTGCCATGCTAGGCACAGGAGATATGGAACACATCTTCTAATGGAGAGAACAGAGGTAAACAGAATGGGGCAAGACATAATGGTTGGGGGAGGGTGGCAGTGGTAGAACAGGGCCTTTGTGGGGGTCCTGGAAGCCAAGGGAGGAAGGACCAAGAATATCAACTCCCACAGATCGATGAAGGACTGTGAAGCTGACAAGAGACCAGGGAACTTGGGGTTAGGAAACTTTTGAAGAATTTCATGCAAATCTCTTTAGCACAGTGGTGGGGAAGACAGCGGACTGTGACAGAAGGAGCTTTGAGTGGAAAATGTAGACCAAGTCCATGCCTTTCTTTCTAGAATAAATACCTTATGGCAAGGGAGGGTAGCAGGGCAATAACAGAGGGCTGGAGGTCCAGCGTGAGGGGAGGAGCAGGAAGACTCAGTGATAGGGCAGGGGGAGAGGCAGGAAGCCAGAGAGACTGAAATTGGAAAGGAGGTGCCAGCTGTGATTTGGCATGGGGCATGAGGAAGGAATGTGTGCTGGGGCACAGGAGAGGGAAGCAGGCCCAGACTGGGAGTGCTTCCTCTTCCCCCAGCACAGGAGGGAGGCTAGCGGCTAGGAATGAGGTCATCATGCTGGAGGTTTAGAATGGCCGCAACGGGAATTGGAGGAGAATGTTAACAGAGACATGGAGAACCGCTGAGGAGGGCTGAGTATGATGATGCAGCTGGGGCTAGAGATGCAGCCGGGCTCAACCAAACCCAATGAACTGGGCATAAAGAGCTCAGTCCACCTCCTACCATGAACCACCCTTCCAGAGGAGGCCTGGCCTCTCCTTATGGTTCTGAGGTTCCTACTCAGTCTGGTTCCAGCACACAGTAAGTGCTTAATAAATTCTCCTTTCTTGCAAGTACTGGAGCTACTCTTGACAATGATCGTTCTGACTGTCTCAATGTTATTTCGAGTCCCACTGGCAATATGGGATGCTGAAGTACTTGCAAGGACTAGGGGTTCAATGAAAGCCCCATCAGTGAGGGCAGAGAAGGGCTCCTGAACAGGAAGCCAGCCCAACAAGCCCAGGACCCCACAAGGCTTTCTGGTACCCAGCTCTGCCTCCCAACAGAACTTGATGAGAAAGTGGTGCTCAGTACAGCGGTTCTAAATTGGTAACCAACACGCATTCTTCTGTGGGTAGGAGAGCACATCTTGAAAGCTGACACTGCAGCTCCCTAAGCAAATCCAAATTTCCACTGGACTCCTGGAATTTTCTCATCTCCGAGTGGGAATAAACTCTGGGGCCACAGCTGGTAAATTCTCCTGTGTCTGAATAAATTATACCCTATGTGATTGATAATTCTCTCCAGTTGTTCCCGCCCAAGCTGCATTCCTTTTTCCCATCAATTCTTGTCCTCATAAGAACATGGCTCTCAGGGCCCTCCTCCTACCACCCCCACTGAGAAACACTGGCTGGGAGAAAGCAGCTCTGCATTCTGAAGTCTGGGGACCACGGCTGCTTCTCGCTCACTGTACAGCACGGGCCGCAAAGCATTTTTCCTGAGCACTTACTATGTGCTAGGCATGGTGCTAAGTACGTCACAAACCGGACCTCATTTAATCCTCTCAGCAGTTCTAGGAGACAGAGATTAATCACACTTTACAGGAGATAAAATTGAGGCTTGAAGCAGGTACAGGCTTTGCCCCAAGTCAGACAGAAATGGAAGAGACATATTTTGGACGAAATTCTGTTCAGACTCTTGAGTTTTCCCCATAGTGTTAACCTCCCTTTCACGGGTCACTATTTCTATACAATCATCCCTAAGTATCTGCTGGAGATTAGTTCCAGGACCCCTGAGTATACCAAAATCCATGCATACTTAAGTCCTATGTTTTCCCCTGTGGAATTCAAGTATACAAAGCATCAGCTTTCTATAGAAGTGGGTTTTACAACCTGCAGGTGTTTGGATGAAAAAAGCCATGTATCAGTGGACCCTTGCAGTTCAAACCTGTGTTGTTCAAGGGTCAGCTGCATATAAAACAGCTAAGGACCACCACAAAGCTGCCAGAAGGGAGGCTGCCTTTCCCAAAGGCTGTTTGCAGAGACCCAGCCCTGAGAGCTCCAGACTTGAGGAACATCAGAGCAGAAGGGCCTCAGCACTCATCTTGCCCCATGTAAGCATTCAGTGATGCCCAGGACCTGGGGTCCACATTGTCTATTTTCCATCCTATTCTGGCTGAAGCCCCATCGTGATGTTCTCTTTCTTTTTAAAGGTCAGGTTTTTAAAACTTTGGTATGGAACCCATCAGGAAACAAGGATCCAATTTTTCATTCCTCTGCTCTAAAACCTGCCATGGCTCCCCAGCACTACCAGCACAATGTCCAAATTCCTTTGCATGGAGGGTCTTGACTATCTGGCCTCTTAATGGTTTTGTGTGGCCCCTTCCTCCAAACTTCTTTAGCAAGTGTGACTAACCCTATTAAAGCACATTATTACCAACATCTCGGTGCGCTCCTTCAGGGTACAGACTATGCTATTTACCTCTGCGTCTGTTTCTCTATTTCACTCATTCATCCAACAGACGTTTAACTAGCATCTGTTATGAGTCAAGCACTCTTTCCTGTCCTGGAGATATTCTGGTGACTAAGGCAAGCTGCAGTCCCTGACCTCATGCTTACAGCCTGCTGGGGGATAGCCCAAGGCCCAAGGCACAAAGCCGGCCTTTTACTAGATGTCTGTTAGTCCAATATATGGTGCCCCCAGGGACTAAGACAGACAAGCTGGGGATTCCTAGACTTGGAGAGATATGTCCCACCCAGGATCAGTTCCCTCCCTTCCTGGGATATCACCATAGTCTCCACTCACTGATATGGTCGATGGAGCCAGCACAGAACTTCCCATAGAACTTCTTGGCTCCCAGGCCCCGAAGGTCGTGGATGGTGAAAGGCCAGAGGTGTAGCACGTTGTTCCTGGAGAAGGTGTCCCTCTTCTCCACCACGACCACTTTGGCTCCCAGGTAGGCAAGTTCAATGGCAGTGCGCAAGCCACAGGGTCCTCCCCCAACAATGAGACACTGCAGAGGTGAGAGAGGAAAGAGGCTCTGAGCAACCTCTAGCATCACAGACATGAACTCCCAGTCAGCAGGGAAACTGAGGTGCAAATCCCAATTGACCTGAACCAACCAGCAAGTGCAAGCTATGTACCTGTTAGGGCCTGTCACTCATCCACCCAATGTACCTTACCTGTGCACCTGCCATGCACCAACCACTGTGCCAAGCCCTGTGAGGAGTGCAGAGGGAAAGGGACTTGGGGAGGAGGCACAGTAAGATGCATGTAAGGTTCAGAGTTAAAGTGAACTGGGTTTCAGTCCCAGCTCCAGCATTTGATCACTAAGGTGCCTTATCTGTGTGGGTCTACTACTCTCCTCGTAAGGTTATTGTAAATAAGATCACTTTAAAAGCCTATGGTACATCTTTGTGGTCTTGAATTAGGTAATAGTGTCTTAGATATAACAGGAAAAACACAAACAACTAAAGAAAAAATTGACAAATTGGATTTTAAAATTAAAACTTGGTGCTTCCAAGGCCACCATCAAGAAAGTGAAAAGAGAACCACACAGAAGGGAGAAGAGAAAATAGTTACAAATCATATATCTGATATGGAACTTGTATCCAAAATACATAAAGAATGTTCACAACTCAGTAATAAAAATATAAATAGCCCCAGTAAAGACTGGGCAAAGGATCTGAATAGATATTTCTTTAGAGAAGATATACAAATGGTCACTAAGTACATGAAAAGATGCTCAACCCCATTTGCCATCAGGGAAGTGCAAATTAAAGCCGCAGTGAGAAATCACTTCACACCCACTGGGATGGCTACGATGAGAAAGAGAACAGCAAGTGTGGGTGAGGATATGGAAAAACCGAAACCCTCAGACATTGCTGGTGGGAAAATAAACTGATAGAGATGCATGAAAACAGACTGGTCATTCCTCCAAAAGTTAAACATAGAGGTTTAAACCATAGGAGCTGGCAATTCTATTCCTAGATATATATACCCAAGAGAAATAAAAACGTGTTCACACAAAATCCTGTAAGTGAATGTTCATGGAAGCATCATTCATAATAGCCCCAAAGTAAGAACAACCCAAATGGTCACCATTGATGAAGAAACCAAATGTGGTATATCCATACAATGGAATATTATTCCACCATAAAAAGGAAAGAAATTCTAATATATGGACAAACCTTAAAAACACTGTGCTAAGTGAAAGAAACCAGACACAAAAGGACACCTACTGTGTTCTGTTTCTATGAAATGTCCAGAATAGGCAAATCCATGGGACAGAAGTGGATTAGTGACTGCTGGGAAATGGTGGAGGGATAATTGGAGAATGACCACTAATGGATAATACAGGGTGTATTTTTAAGCTGTTTTGGAATTAGATAGTGGTGATGGTTGCACAACTTTGCAAATATGCTAAAACCACTGAATTGTGTACTATAAGAGGGTAAATATGAATTATGTCATCATAAAAAAAAGTACATGAGAAAAAAATATACAGAGCTTGGCACATACTAGTGTAAATAGTGTCATTCTCATTGCTGAGACCTAGACCCTATCTTCTAGAAACTCTCAGGCTAGGGGTAAAATACATAACACACACACATATATATATATAACTAGAATCTTGTGTGGCTGATTTTATCTGGAGCCCAGAGGGAAAAGCTAATCCTGCCTCATAAGTTGGAAAAGATTTCACAGAGGCGAGTCTTTCAAATTATTACTTTAGCCTACATTTGTTGAACACTTACTATGGGCCAAATGGTTTCAAGTGCTTTCTGTGTTTTAGCTCTTAATCTTTACAACAAATCTAAGGAACTATTATGATGCCCCTTTCACAGATGGGGAAATTGAGGCACAAAGCAGCTACTTAATTGGCTCATGCTTTTACAGATTGAAAGGGGTAGAACCAGGATTCAAACCCAGGGAGTCTCATTCCATAGCCTACCATGCTGGACTGCTTCTGGTTTGCCAGGAATAAAAAAGAAAAAAGAACATTTCAGCAGAGGGAACTGGCCTTTCAAAGAGAAAGAGAAAGAAGTTCAAGGTGGATAGAGAGAAGGATACTTTGGGAGAAGGGAAAGGAATGGGAGAAAAAGAGATGAGAATTAGTGTGGAGTCAAATGGTGAAAGTCTTAAGTGCCAAAGGCATCTTTGATGGCCTTGGTCCTGTTGGCATTTGGGCCATGTGGGCAGAGGTGACAAAAGAAGATTCTGCATGAGTCCCATGCTCGGTCCTCAATGGACACAACATGCTGAAAAACACAAGGATCCTTCCCCAGGGAAAACACACGATGACCTAGGATAGCTGTATTGGGCAAAAGCCCTTTCATTCAAAGAAAATCTTGTGAGGAGCAGCATCACTACTGTCTAAAACCAGAGGAAGATGGCAATACTCTGCCTGAAAGAATCAGAAGAAACTCCTTTCTAAGGCAGGAGTTTGCCTGGAGATCTGACCCTCAGCAAGGCAACGGGCAAGGGGATCTGCACCCACTCCTCACTCCTCAACACTGCGGAGGCATCTGGAAACTGTCCTTCTGCTTGAGATCAAACCTTATCTTAAAAAAGCACATTCCCCTTCCTCTAGCAAATGTTCCATCATCCAGTTATCACTCAGCTGGGCCTGCAGGGTCCCAAAAGGAAAGTGCAAACAAGCATATCAGGAGCTCCCACACCACAATCAGTGTGGCCTGCTGGTTGGAGCCTTCTAGAGAGTTTGTAGACACCTAATTAAGGGAAATGAGATCACCACTGAGATCCAGCTCAGAGACATCAGGGAGTGAGTGGGTGTGCAAGTCCATGTGCATCCTCTCTGGATAGAGCCACCGGGAAAGAACCAAGCCCCGCTTCCCAAGCTCAGCACTACTCTTTATCTCACTCCCCAAACAGCTCCTTGGGCTTGGACATAGCCAGACAATGACAGTCATTTCAAAGCACGACTCCAAGCCCCATCACGGGTGAGGTTTGCTTTGGGGTTAAGTCTGGATTCCTGCATTTCTTTGCCGTTAGTACATCTTTTCCTGTTTGCTGAAGTCTGTCCCTTCGGGGCCAGGGATGAAGCAGGGGTGGGAGGATGTGGGGTGAACAGGGGCAGAAAAGAAGGAGGGGAGCACCCTGCATCCTTCTGTCCACCGGGCCTGACCCAGCACTGCTTCCCGGATAAGGCAGGAGATCCCTTTCTCACCAGTCAGGGGGCGGCCGTGCATTTTGCAGGCAAACAGTAGCTGGTGTACAGTTTCTGATGCTCTTGGCTAAACCTAAAATCCCATTGGCGGAAGCTCAGTTTTCCCACCATCCTGGGCCCCAGTACATATTTCGGGCCTGAAATTTCAGAGATGCCAGTCATACCGTAACCTAAAGTCAAAGCAAATACCAACGGGCCTAATTATATAAAGGGAGAAAATTCAGTACAGATGTTATCAAGGCCAGAGAGAGGGCTTGTTGGCAGGGGCCACGCCAGGTCTTCTCTGAACGCGCTTGTTGTGATTAAGATGGGAACTTGGTGTTCTGACAAAAGGCCAAATACCATGGCAGCCACATGCCCGGGCAGAGGAGTGGGAGAGAGGAGGACTTCCCCGGCATGCCCACTGTAGATGCTCTGGACGCTGGACATGGTCCAGACAGAACACAGATGCAAAGGGTTGTGATAACTCGACCCAAAGGAGCTCTTTCCTCAGACCCAGCCAGGCCTTACGTCCAAGGAAGGAAAACTTTTCATTAAAATTCAGATTGTATGCTCCTGCCCATGTTCCCATGAGCTCTGTCCTTTCTGCTTCCCCAGAACCAGCTCTGCAGGTCACAGTTATGTGTGTGTGACCCACAGCCAGTCCAAGGGCTTCTCTAAGGCCGCCCCCGTCCTCTGTATTTCTGTGTGCTCAGAGCCCAGTACCAGGCCTGCCACCCAGGAGGTCTCAACTGACAGCTGATGGATGAACTCTCTCCACCTTCTCCACCCATCCAGTTCTGCCTTTCCATCCACAACTAGGATGTTCAGTTCACACCAGTGGGGGTTCATGTCTGCAGATTCCCACCCAGACTGGGGGAGCCGGGGTCTGCCAAGGCCACCAGCATCATGGATGTCAGCATATCTGTGTGCTCAGGTGGCATAAATTATTACCCAGTGGGGAGCAGGGCAGAGCCAACGCCAGCAGGAAATCCATTGTATAGATAAGCACGGTGGAGTTCAGGCCTCCATGTTAGCACAGGGGAGAGACAAACACCACATGGAAAAATCAGCTCTTCATCAAGAGGCAGAAATAGAGGGATGGGGACCAAGCAACCCGCAGTCAGAGACGGGGTGGCCCCAGCTCACATGGGACTCCTGCTTCTCCCCAGTGGGCCCTGCAAACACGACCCACTTCTTGACATGGTGCATCTTCTAGCCACCCCTCTTGCCAGCCAATAAGTGGGTCAGTGTGCTGGGGCTGTGTCAAGAAGGCACAAGAGATTCAGTCCCCAGAGGGAGATGCTGAGGGGACCTAGGGCTAAGCCAGGAGGTAGCAGTCTGCAGGCTTCATTTCCACTTCTGAACCTGTCCCCGTGTTCTTTGAGAGCCATGTGTCCAGACACTGCAGCGAGGTGGAGTGCAGAAGCCAGCACTTGAGCAGGGTGTGGCGCCCTCTAGCCTGCTTACCCACCTTGCACCTCACCTAGAAATGACAGCCGTGAGAGCAAAGCTGCACTGTGCCTGGCACATGCTACTTGCCAGGCACTGTTCTAATTGCTTTGTGTATTTCACCCTTGCAACTGCCCTACAAAGGTGTTATTATCATCTCCACTTTGTAAGTGAGGTAACTAAGGCACTGAAAAGTTAAGTAACTTGCTCCAGGCACCCTTATCATCTCTTTGAGTAAAGAGGGGAAGAAATGTCTTTAAGGTCACAGAATGAATAAGTGGTCAAATCTGGATTTCAACCCAGGTAGTATTGGTCCACAGTCTACGCTCTCACCAGCTTCACTGACAGTGAAGCCCAACCTCAGTGGTGAGGTCAGGATGAAATGAGAGGAC